GGGCCTGGAGGACCTCAGGTCGGAGGCTAAATAAACTGTATGTTAGGAAAAGTGTCAAGCCAAGAGTGGTCTGCCCCACGGAGTTGCTTCCCTCACAGGCTTCTCCGTAGGCCCCTGGCAGTAATCAACACCTCTCCTTCCCCAAATCTCCCACCTCCACCAGTAACCTCACATTCTAATAAAAAACACGGTGCCTGTACACAAAAGCCATTTTATGGCACGTCATCTAAACCGCTACCCCTCGCTCAGCCTAGATAGAAAAGTATGGAGCTACCACTAGCCTCCTTGTCTTCTGGAGGACCTGGATAGGGATTCTGTGAGTTTCTTAGAGTGTTGCAAGGGAGAGATCTCTCTCCTATTGTAATGGGGGTCAGCCAGAGACTTCTGACCTGACATCGTACCAGCTATAGCTGAAGGAGGGGTAGAGGATAGTGACAGAAAAACACTGTACGATGCAACAGGCCTGGGAAAAGACTTCTTGGAAAAGAAGGGACTGGCAGTGACTAATAGTCCTCCAGCTTTGGGATGGACATTACAGACCATGTGGAAGTTAAAACCAGAAATGGTTGAAAAGAGAAAAAAGAAAAGAGGAGAAAAGAAAAGAGAAGAGAAAAGAAAGAAAAGAAAAGAAAAAAAGAAGAAAAAGAAAAAGAAAGGAAAGGAAAGAAATTTTCCCACTGAAATCAGTTTGGTTCAGTGGATAGAGCGTCGGCCTGCGGACTCATGGGCCCCAGGTTCGATTCGGTCAAGGGCATATACCTTGGTTGCGGGATCATCCCAAGTAGGGGGTGTGCAGGAGGCAGCTGGTCGATGTTTCTCTCTCATCGATGTTTCTAGCTCTCTATCACTCTCCCTTCCTCTCTGTAAAAAATCAATAAAATATTTTTTTTTTAAAGAAAAAAAAATTCCCAATGTGGAGGTAGGAACCAAACGCTTCAACTAATGTCACCTCCTCTGGAGAGTGGGGCTGGGGGGTAATTCTAAGGGGAAAAGAGCTCTTTGGCTAACAAGCTTTTAAAGAAGGCATGTCTTGAGGTAGGAGGAGGGCCTACGTGAACTTTGAAGTTATTGTCACACGAAGGTCCACTATGATGCTCACCCTCACTGTCTTCTTGACACCACAACCCCCTCCACCCCAACTGAGTCTCTCCTTCTGAAGCACCTGGCTGGTTTGCTACCTGCTATTTCTGCTCCTTCAGTAGGGAAAAGCTGTGTGTCTTTTCCTTCTCAAGGTCACAGCTGTCTGGGCTGGAAGGAAATCTGCTCCCTCCATCCTCTTGGTGTTTGACCCTAGAGATTAGCACAACATTTGGCAAACAACCTAGATGAGTCTCATCCATCTCGTTCATTCCATGCATTTAGTGAGGACTACTAAGTGTCAGAAGCTGGTAATACACAAGTGATAGCAATAAACACAAAGCATAGTCTTGTCCAAATGGCCCTGAGGCTCCAGAAGACCCCAAAACTGAGGTCCTCTGTATTTACACACTCATAGAAATATTTGCAACACCTATAACCAAGACAGGACTCATATTTTAAATATATGAAGAACTCCTACAAAGCAGTAAGACAGAAAACCTAAGAGAAAACTGACCCTAAAAATGGATAAAATACTTGAACAGATATCAAAGTGGAAATAATATATGAAAAGATGTTTAATGTCATTGGTTATAAGACAAATGCAATTTAAACCACAATGAGATACCACTACACACCCTCCATAATGGTTACAATTTTTTAATCTTTTTCACTTGGCAATACAAAGTGTTGATGAGGATGTGGAGCAATTGGAACTCTAAGATAGTACTGGCAGGAGTGTAAATTAACATGAGCACTTTGGGAAATTATTTGGTAGATTTACTAACACTTAAACATATGCCTACTCTATCACCCAATAATTCTATTCCTAGGTATGTATCATAACAGAAATATAAGCATACATATAACAAAGGATACAAAGAAAATTGTTATAGCTGCATCCTATATAATAAAAGCCTAATATGCAAATTGTCTCCTCAGACAGTCCTTCCATCAGGAGACCCACTGGGAAACTGAGTTTGACAGTTTGCTATATCATGCACTGCCCACCAGGGGGCGGCTCTGGCAGTGGGTGGCAGTGGAGGTGCTGCTGGCCCTGATGGGCCCCAATGAGAGTGGGACCAGTGGGACTGTGTTGGGATGGTGGAGCAGGTGAGGGGGTGGCTCCAGGCCAAGATGGGGTGCTAGGCAGGGCTGTGGGGCTGAGAGGCTAGGAGTGCCAGTTTGGGCCTGATCTCCACAGGCCACCCCTAGGGACCCCACCTATGCACAAATTCATGCACCAGGTCTCTTGTTATTCTTCATATATTTAAAATTTGACTCCTCTGTTGGTTATAGGTGTTGCAAATATTTCTATGAGTGTGTAAATACAGAGAACCTCAGTTTTGGGGACATCCCAAATGCCCATCAATAGAATAACAGATGAATAAATTCACTTAATGACATAATATACAGCAATGAAAATGAATTAGCTAATGCTACCACAATGTTGTGCATTAGTTTTACAAACATAATACCGAGTGAGAGAAGCCAGACACAAAATAATACCAACTGAAAGGTTTCATTTATATAAAGTTCAAAAGCACACAGAACTAATCTATGGTGTAGAGAGGGGTTGCCTTTGGGAAGGAGGGAGGGATAGTGACTAGGAGGGGATATGAGGAGGGCTTCTGGGGTGCCAGTAAGATCTAATTCTTGATCTGGGAGGCAATTATATGTGTATGTTCACTGTGTCATATGCTCTTGACCTATACACTAAGGCTTTGTGCACTTTCCCATGCCTGGTATACTTCAGTTAATTATTTTTAAAAAGAGCCCTAATGGGTTTGGTTCAGTGGACAGAGCATCAGCCCAAGGACTGATGAGTCTCAGGTTCAATTCTGGTCAAGGGCATGTAGGCAACCAATCGATGTGTCTCTCTCACATTGACATTTCTCTCTCTCTCTCTCCCCCTCCCTTCCACTCTCTCTAAATATCAATGGTGAGGATTAACCAAAATAAATTTTAAAATTTTAAAAAAATTTTAAAGAAAAAAAACACAGGAAACGGGGGGAGAGGGGGAAAGAGAGATGGAAGGTGGGAAAGGAATATGAGGGAAATCACATAGAGGTGGCTGAGCTGTGGCACGATTCCAAGGGCATGAGGACTGTGGAAGGGAGAAGGACAGGAATCGTCGCTAGCAGCTGAAGGAAAAATCTCCAGTTACATCAGCCTTCGTTTCCCACCAACCCTACACCCCCTTTTCAAAAACAGAGCCTTTTGGGGGCAAAACCCAAGTGTTTCCTACTTCAGGCTCCAGGCAGAGAGTGCCGGTGTTTGAAGCCAAACGTGCGGCTCTCAGACCAGGTCCTGTGAAGACTGCAGGCCATGGGTGCAAATATCTTAGCTGCCAACCTAGAACAATCCCCATCCCTGGAGTGGGGGTTGGTGTGTGTTGTTATCCTTGTCCAAAGGAATTACCTGGTTGCTGTGTTCGCTCTCGCTCGCTCGCTCTCACACCCTTTCTGAAAGGGGAAGCCAAAACGCGTCATACCCGGCACTGGGTTCTCCTCCCCCAGGCACACCTCTACTCCGAACCCCATCCAGGTCTGAGGTCACGCTCCGGTGGCCCCTGAGGAAAAGGACAGGAAGGAACCACTGGTCACAGGTTCCACTGACCAGAGGGGAAAACCCGAGGGCGGCGGTTCCTTTTGGGGGGGGGGGGGGGTAGGGGGAAAGAGGCCACACCCCCTGCACAAAAACATCCCGGAGAACTCGTATTGACTCTGCGTGGGAGAGGTGGCGGTGCCCGGGGGAGGAAGTGGCCTCAGGCTGGATGGGAACGCCCCTCTTTGATCCCACGAGGTGCGTCAGGGAAAGTTGGATTTCGTTGAGCCCGGGATGGAGACATCTCTCCCCACGCGGCCACCGGGACCGGAGGAAGCCGGGCTCCCCTCCGCCCCGGGCTCAGGTGGCGCGTGTGTGACCCCGGCCGAGAGCCCGACCTCTTTTCCCGCCCGCCCGCCCGTCCCCACCCCTTTCGAGGCCGGCACTTTATTAAGGCCGGTTCCGTCCGGGCTGAGCCACCGGCTGAGAAGGCGGGATCTGGCGGAAGCTCGCGGTGCCCAAGCGGCCGGAGAGGAGCTGTGACCGAGGACAAGGTAGGGACGGTCCCCTCCGAGGACGGAGCGCGGCAGCTCGGCGGGCCTTTCCCCGGCTTCCCGGAGGCCGAAGCCGCAAGGAAGCGCTCGAGGAGTCGGAGCGGTCGCTCGCCCTGCTGCGCCCGCTTTTCGGGGTTGGGGGGAGGAGGGCGAGGGAGGCCCCGGGAGCGGTGGGGCGCCCCGAGGGAGGTGGCACCGCGCGGCGATCGCCGGGCAGTGGGCACCCGGGCCCGTGGCCGAGGGGCGCAGGGACCCGCGCGAGCGCCGCGCCGCGGGGACCGCCCGCTCCGGGTTCCCGTCACCCGCGCCCGGGGTTCCCCGAGGCCCCGCCTCCCGAGGCCCCGCCTCCCCATAGGCCCCGCCTCCCGAGGTCCCGCCTCTCCTCGCGCAGCGAAAGAAAAGGGCGGGGAGAGGCGGGGCCCGCCCCTCCTCCGCCCCTGATTGGCTGCGGCTGCTGTCCATCCAGAGTATTTTTGATGGAGTTGGGGGGGCCGCCCAGTCTGCCCCAGATCACGTTTGCCCCTAGCAGCCAACCAGTCGGGCCCGAGTCCGCGGGCCAAAAGCGATTGGGGGCGAGTGAGCTCGGCTCCACAGTCCCCCCCCGCCCGGTACGGGTGTCGCCCGCCCGAGCCCGAGCCCAAGGAGGTATATCCTGCCCCGCCGGCCACCTCCCCTCGTGGAAGCGGAGCGGCGGCCTCGCTGGAGCGCGGAGGCGAGATGTAGCGAGCCGGGGGGTCGCGGCTGGACGCTCGCCTTGGCTGGGAGTGTGGGGGGGCAGGCACGCCGCCGGGGGCCGAGGAGGACTGCCGAGGAGGAGGAGTGATGAGAAGAGGGGGCTCCCTGCACTCCCCGAGACCACGGGCCCTCGCTGCCACTCGCCAGGCGCCCTCCTTCCTCCTCAGCGAGGACCAGGTCAGTCCCCTCGCGGGGTGGGGGGCGGAGGGCGGGAGCCCTGGCTCGCAGCGCATTTGCTGAGTCCGAATCCGGGAGAGGAGAGGCGAGGGAGGACAGCCGTGTGCCTCTCCCCCCTCCTTGGGTTTGGGGATAGTCAAACGAGGCTTTTGTGTCCCCTTCTCCTCGGGGCATCCTGGTTCCGTTTTTGCTTCTTTCATCCCAGGGCCTCCTCGGGCCTGTCGGAAGTCTCTTGACTGGAAGGAGTGGAGTTCGGGGCTGGCTGGCTTCTCTTCCTGCCAGTCTCCTTTCAGGTTAGGTGGCCTGCGTGGAAGGCAGGACGAGGAAGGAGGGCCAAGTTTTGGCAGACTCGGAAAGTTTCCTGCCGCAGGAGCCGTGGCCTCCAGCCCGCTCAGAGGTTTCCTCTCCCGCCATGGTCTTGGAAAAGACCACAGACCAGGTTCAAGGAACCGAGTTGACAGAAAGAAAACAATTCCCAGGGGCCAGTTACTGGACTTGACCCACCCTTTCCCAAACCGGAGTTGACTAATGGTGTGGGTGGAATACCTAAGGACCCATTCCTCTTACCTCGGGAAATTCTCTTTAAAAATTATTATTATTATTATTTAATTTGTAAAAGCTATTCTGGTGAAATGGAATAGGGTGGGATCAAGGCATGGGGACTCCTTTAGGGGGGGGGGGGGGGAAAGTGGGATCATTACAGCCCAAGAGACATGCACTTGGGAGCGAGTACATTTTGGCGTATGCTGCTTTTGTTTCTTGTTTTGCTTGGTTTTATTTCTTTTTTCCGTGGGCGCTTTTGTGTTTGTTTTTTAAGAACTCCGCTATGTCCAGTTCTCAGCAACCCTGGGGAACAGGGCGAACCTAGAGAAGTGAAATGTGTGCATAACAACCAGGCGTTTCACCCTCTTTCCCTTCCAACTGAGATAGCTCCCCGGTCCCTATCTGACCAGCTCACAGGGCCCAGAGCAGGGGGAGAGAAGCAGAGACAAGAGGCCTGGCTCCAAGTTCCCGTCTGAGCTTTTTGTAACACTGTTGACTCTCAAGGGCAAGAGTGGGGAGGCCTCTGGCTCTTGGCCTCGGGCTGGCAGGCTTGCCTCATTGCCCAGAGAGTCCTCCTATTTTTTTATTTTTCTTTTTTATAAACTCAGGGGCTCGGGTGCTTGGGAGTCTGGGGACCTTGCCTCAGTGATCAGATTCTCCCTGTGTAGTGGTCCTGGGTGGCTGTCTTGTGATTGTAAACAGTCACGGTCTACCATGGGGGGAAGGGGGGGGGGCTGTGTGGCAGGGAGCCTGTGCCTGAATGCATGAGTGTATCCACTGGGAGACCACATCTAAATAACCCCGGGTTCTCCGTGAGCGTTCAAGAAGGGATGTCCCCCTGGTTACTGAGAAGGCAATGCATAGCGTCTTCCCCGTCCCCGGCTGCTCGCCGCTGTGGGTGAGCCGTAGGGGGCCGTGGGTTGCTGACTGGGAGGATGGCAGGGATAGCGCCTGCTGGGCCTCCAGATGTTGCCGTGCAGGGATGGGTAGTCTTCATGGAAAGGACAAACTCTTTGACTTGTGTCTGCTTTTGTGCCTCCCGGGATAAGCTGCCCTTTGCTGTATCATAACATTCTCCTCTTCTCGTCTTCCTCCCGCAGAAGGTATTCCGCACAGTTTCTCGTGACTTGAAGGACCGGGCATTCTGGGAGGTTCGAGGTCTTCCCAGGAAGGAAGGGGATCTCGGGAAGAAAGGGGAAGGACGACAGGCACTGCCCTGGGACCAGCAGAACCGGAGGAGCTGTGGGAAGCTTCGGGACACCAGCCAGAGGCGTGGGAAGAAGCCCCAGCCCCGGGCCCACGCTGCCTTCTGAAAAGAACTGGACTCAAACCACTTTTCATGCAAGAAGGGCCGTCTCGGAGGTTACCCCACATTCGACCGGGCTCTGCCACTCTGGATGTTCCTGCTCGGAGGAACCTGCTGCTGAGAACCAAAGAAGATAAGAGGCCGGATTAGTTTCCCCCCAGCCCAGCGCGGGACATCAGGAGTCAGGCATCTGCACCCCTAGTGGCTGGCCGCGGGCGCTGGTGAGGAGTTTCTGGTTCCCTCCAGCTCGCGGCTGCAGTGCTTGATGGGGCTGCCTGTTGGTCCATCAGTTTTTGCAGCACCCGGCAGGAGCGGAGAGCCGTGGGAAGAGGTCCTGCGGCACCCGAGCCTGGGCTCACCCCAAGACTAAGTTTTTCCCTGCGTTAGAGAGGGAGAGAGAAAGCAACAAAGAAAAAGAGAAACGTTCCCCCTTCCTGCCTTCCCTTCCCGTCATGTCCTCTAAGTTGGAGCTGAAGGACGTCCACCAGCTGAACGGGACTGGCCCTGCTGCTGCTTCACCCTGCTCTTCCGATGGCCCCGGGCGAGAGCCCTTGGCCGGGACCTCCGAGTTCCTGGGGCAGGATGAGGCTGGGGTAGAGGTGGTGGTGATCGAGTCTCGGGCCAACGCCAAGGGGGTTCGGGAGGAGGACGCCCTGCTGGAGAACGGGAGCCAGAGCAATGAGAGCGACGACGTCAGCACAGACCGGGGCCCCGCACCACCCTCCCCGCTCAAGGAGACCTCCTTTTCCATCGGGCTGCAAGTGCTCTTCCCCTTCCTCCTGGCAGGCTTCGGGACCGTGGCCGCGGGCATGGTGCTGGACATCGTACAGGTAGGACCTGGGAGGGCAGCTCTTGACCGTGAGTCCCGGGGCCACCTTCCCTCCTGAGAAACTTGGCTGTTCCCCACCACCTCCGATCGGAAGCAGCTGCTGCTTCCTAGAATACTATTTCCCTTTGGACCGCAGCCTCAGTTTCTTCTTGGTCTGGTGGCCACAGGAGCCTGGAGGAAGCCCAGTAGCCCCGGGGAAGTGGTCAGGGCAGTATTGCTTAACAGAAGCAGAATCGGTTCCAGAGCTCAGGCTTGGAAGAGGAGCAGTGGAATGGGGCTGTGGCCTGCCATTCCTCCTGGGCATTCCTGCTAAGCCCAGCTCAGCAGGAGACATTTCCATGGGTCTCCACTTGACGCTTTCTTTTCCCTTCCCTTGAGGTTTCAAGGATACCCACAGGAGAAACCTCAGTTTCAAGTCTCCTTCCTTTCCATCCCCCTGCTGGGCAGGAATTTGTCTGGCTGCCAAGAGGGTCTCAAATTAAAAGGGAAGGTTCTTAAAGGCATTTTGTGTTGCTTATCTGCCCGTAACCTTGGCAGGATCTTGGGGCACGGGGTTGGGCACATGCTGTCTGTTGCATGGTTTGAGGGGGGTGGCATGATAAGACATAGAAGTGCTAATTCGGTGACATAAATGGGGTGAAATGTAACCGGTCTTTGCTCTGGCAAAACGGTCTTTGCTCCTTACCTGTCTTCATGAACCTGCCTTGGACAAAGGACGCTCTTTTTGAGGCTACTGGGTAGAATTATGGATAAGAATTGGTAGGTCCTGGAAGAGCCAGTGATATGCTACATTAGTGTATTGTGGGTTAGGGCTTACCCAAAACCTCCAGGTCCAAGAGATAGGTAATGCCTTCTTTCTAGATAAAAGTTTCTGAAGGGCAATAAGGCACACAGGGCTTTCTGAAGATGCCACATTGAACCAAGTCAGTCACTAGCAAATATTGCTGCTGAGTATTGGGCTTTGTCCTACGTATTCAGAGAAATACCAAATACTGAGGCCGAAGGAGATCTGGCCTTTGCTTTTTTTTTTTTTTTTTTTTTTTTTTTTTTTAATATGTTTTTATTTATTTCAGAGAGGAAGGGAGAGGGAAAGAGAGAGAGAAACATCCATAATGAGAGAGAATCATCAATGGCTGCCTCCTGTATGCCCCTTTCTAGGGATCAAGCCCTTAAGGTGGGCATGACTGAAATTGAACCCAGGACCCTTCAGTCCACAGGCCAATGCTCTATCCACTGAGCATAACCAGCTAGGGTGCTCGTTAGGACCCATCGGTGTCCATGACCGTGAAATCTCAGGATGATATGGAGCTCAGCATCCCTCTCCCATGCCAATCCACCCCTACAGATCATGCCTGTGGTGACGCAGAGTCCTGCTGATGGGTCTCACCATGCTCTTGTCCCAGGAAACTGAGGGTGTTGGTTCTAGGTGGTTCCTTCTTTGACTGGAGCCCTTCAGGAGAACCCTGCACCTCCGGTTGCTAATGAGGATGTTGTTTATGTCTGCCTCCTCTCACCCCTAACCTATTACCTTGAGAATTGTTCCTCATCCGGGTGAGAAAGCCAGCTTGGAGCAGGGAAGGTCAGCTTTGGATTCCCCCAGTAGCTGCCCCTCCCCCCAGTGCAGTGAAAGTTGGGTAGCAATTTTAGAGTTTTTGAGTTCTGATTTGGTATCTACAAAAGGGTATAAAACCAGGTTCCGGTGGTGAACTGGGAGAGAGTTGTCTTTATTTTCTGGATAGTATTGGTATGGGGAGCTTTTGCTGGGCTCCTCTGTAGCAGCCATAATCATCTCTGTTTTGTAGATAAGGATATATGGCTTAGAGCCGTGGTCGACAAACTGCGGCTCTCGAGCCACATGCGGCTCTTTGGCCCCTTGCGTGTGGCTCTTCCACAAAATACCACGGCCTGGGCGAGTCTGTTTTGAAGAAGTGGCGTTAGAAGAAGTTTATGTTTAAAAAAATGTGGCTCTCAAAAGAAATTTCAATCATTGTGCTGTTGATATTTGGTTCTGTTGACTAATAAGTTTGCCGATCACTGGCTTAGAGCAATTAGGTAACTTGTCCTTGGTCACTTGACTCAGAGCCTGACCACTGACCTCTGTGGCCTTCACCATGGCCGTGATTTACCAGTTGATTTAAGAGTCTGTGGGAGGAGTCCACTCCTTTTGTCTTCCCCTGAAAAACAGGGTGGACTGAAATTTGGAACAACTGGAGTTGTATTCAAAAATGAGCAAGAACAAAAGTTGATCTGCAAGGTCAACTCCAGCCCTGCCTTCCCATCCCACATACTCAGAGAATTGTAAAGCTGGAAAAGGCATCTGACATCTTGCCCCACACCCATCCAATCCCTCCCGCAAGCCTGAGACATTGAGAGACCTAGGTAGGGAACCTCTGGAGCCTGCCCAACACACCCACAGAGGGCCCAATTTGTCCTTGGCGTGACACCTAAGCCCGCTGCAGAATTAGGTCCAGTTGGTATGGATGACAATGGCTGGATTGTCCTCGTTGCCTTCCCCCAGCCTCCCTTCCACAGCTGGGCTGGAGCAGGCCTGCAGGGAGCCGAAGATAGCATGGGAGAGAGTGGGTGCAAAAAGAACAGGGCATGAGACCACGGGGAGGTTCTTAGCCCGTATCCAGGGGAGCAGGAGGGCCAGCGGACAGTCACAGATTCCGGAAGAGCAGGATGGTGTCTAAGGCTTCACACCTGCCTTTTCCTTTCACAAGCTAAGTTAGCCTGCAGTGGGGCCGAGTCCGGGGGTTCCTAAAGACCGGGGCCGTGTGGGGAAGGTGGCTGTACAGTGTCCCCAGTGTCTCAGAGTCCGTGTTGGTGCAGGTGTTCCCTGGTCCCAGAGCCCCCGACCTTTCCCCACTGCTGGGGAAGACCCAGTCTCTTCCTGGAAGGCCCATTTCTGTCTCCTCTTACTTGCCCTCCTCTCTCTCCACTGCGTACAGCCAGCTCTGCTGTGCAATGGGCGCTGGCACCCTGGCCACAAGCAGGAAAAGGATAAAGGAACTGCGATTTGCTCCAACTTCCCACCGTGGCTGAATGTTCCTGCAGCATTTGGGAGGGAAACAGGACTGGGCCCAGGGTTGGAGCTGAAGTGGATTGGGACGTGGGAACCTCCCTGCTGCACAGGCCTCGGGCCCCACCCCCTCGTTTGGTCCTGGCTGCTGGAGGGCACCTCACTCCCTTGTCTGGTTAGCCTTTTGAGGAATGGGGATGGCAGCAGGTGGTCGCACCTTCACTGTGTTAAGACAGGTGGGACTCCTAAGTCCTTATTGGAACATACTGCTCGCTCACCGAGGATCCCAAGGAAAGTAGACCCCCTCCCCCAAGCACCTCCTTCTCTGGCTTCTCTATCTGCTGTGTATGTGGGAGCGTCTACAAAGATGAGAGTGGATGGCAGGCATGGGCTTGGGCGAGTGGATTGGGAAAGAGGCATTCTCCTGTCTGGCCTGCTCCCATGGCAGTGGGCATCCCTGGGCATGACACTTGGCTCCATCTCACTTGGCCACACCTTTCTCACACTGTTATCTCTCTATCCTGGCCTTGTCCTGAGGCCCTTCTTGGAGGACACCTGCAGAGTTGTGTGTGTTGAGGGGAGGGTGGCTCAGACAAGTGAATACTGGGCTTACTCCAATCTGTTCTGCAGGGTCAACTCCAGCCCCACTTCCCACAGCCCATGCTTAGAGCTTATCTTAACATCCTGACCCTGTGCTTCCGGGCTGTGACTTTCTTCCCCATTGCCACCCTCCCACGGGGAAGAGGCTCAGGACAGAACACCCGAAGGCAGACAGGGGAGGTGAGAGGTGAAAGGACAAAGGAGAGGTGCTGGCTGGGCCATTGAGGTGACAGCTCTGAAGCAGGATTAGTTCTGAGGGTGGGGTAGGCAGTCTCATCCCTCACCCCCAGAATATCAGGGACCAGTGAGCCCCACCTCCATAGGAAAGAACTGGAAAAGGAGCTGCATTTCTGAGAAGCCATGAAATGTTTATGTTTAGACACACACACACACGCACACACACACCACAGTGGGGCCCAGCTTCCTGGAACGCACCCTTCTCCATCCCCAGCAGAGCAGGAAGGCGTGGGTGAAGGTTTGGCTGAAGGCTGGGCTGACAAAGCTGACGGGTTTGAGTCCGCGAGTAGGCACTCCCAGCCAGGATGAACAGGACGGGCCAGAATTAGGCCCTGTCTGTCCTGTCACATACTACGGGCTCTGTCTGCTTCCAGGCTGCCCCACCTCACCATCTCTTCCCAGAGCTCTGTGTGCGCGCGCCCTGAGCTGCGTCTTTGAGGGTTTTGTGGGTAAAGAAAGCAGATGTGTAGGACTCAGCTGCTCTGACCCAAGGCCATCTTGGCTGACCGGGGCTGGACTCAGGTTGCGTGAGGTTGCTGTATTCTATGCAGGTTTGGGCACTTGTGTGGGGGCTGTTATTTTTTTTTAAAATACATATGTTTTATTAATTTTTTTTACAGAGAGGAAGGGAGAGGGATAGAGAGTTAGAAACATCGATGAGAGAGAAACATCAATCAACTGCCTCCTGCACATCCCCTACTGGGGATGTGCCTTCAACCAAAGTACATGCTCTTGACTGGATCGAACCTGGGACCTTTCAGTCCGCAGGCCGATGCTCTAGCCACTGAGCCATACCAGTTAGGGTCAGGGGCTGTTATTGTGGCTGCTTTCCTCCCCGCCTGCCTGTCTCTCGTCTTAACACTGTTAAAACCCTACACCTTGGAGGTCCTTGTGTAGTTTAAAGGAGAGAGGTAGGGAGAGAGAGGGTGTTGGGGGATGCTTCTAGTGGCTGCCAGTGGGCTTAGCTGAGCTTCACATATTATTTTTCTTAAATTATTATAAAGACAAACAATATTCCTTAGAAACTATTACTTGCATACGCTCGGAGCATTTCTTTCCTGGCTCTTTCAATCGGCCAGTGCATATGCATTACATTCGCCTCTCGGAGAACAGAGCTGGGCGCTGGGAGGGGGGTGAAGCTGTGCTCAGAGAGGCCTTTTGAAAGCCCACAGTAGGCCATCCTCCTAAGGAGAGGGGAGCAGAAGGGAATTCTTCCCTCTGAGCTGTTGTCCAGTTTAGATGAGGAAGAAGAAGGTGAGCAGAGCAAGGCCGGGCCTGCAGGGACCTGGAACTCCAGGTTATACACAGCATCCAAAAGTGACCGCCCCCGAGCTCCTCCCGGGCCCATGGAGCTCACTGCCCCTCTCTCAGGCCCTGGGGGTGAGAAGGGATTCGAACCCTTCCAGCATTTGGAGCAGGGGGGGAGGCTCTTCCTGTGGGTGCCTGTGGAAAGCTCAGCAACTGTTCTTGGGGGCAAGGGGGTGTAGGGAAGATGATTTCTGACAGGGCTTCTCTGAAGAGAGTCCTAGGCCCTCCATCTGTGAGGGGCCAGGCCGAGAGCCCAGGTAAGGATAGACAAGCCCTAATGAGATGAGCCCTTCCCCATGGTACTGGCAAGGTCATCCCTCCCATGCTAACACACACACACACACACACCCAGCCAGCATGGCTCAGTGGTTGATGTCAATCTATGAACCAAGAGGTTGGAATTCGATTCCTCATTGGGGCACCTGCCTGGGTTGTGGGCTTGATCCATACTATGTGACCTGCAGGAGGCAGCCAATCGATGATTGTCTCTCATCATTGATGTTTCTATCTCTCTCTCCCTTTCCCTTCCTTTGAAATCAATTAAAATATATGTTTTAGCCCTAGCCTATTTGGCTCATTGGATAGAACATTGGCCTGCAGACTGAAGAGTCCCAGGTTCAATTTCGGTCATGGGCACATGGCAGGTTGCAGGCTCGATCCCCAGTAGGGATCATTGATGTTTCCAACTCTCTCTCCCTCTCCATTCCTTTCTGAAATGAATTATATATATATATATATATATATATATATATATATATATATATATATAATTTTCTGAAATTTTATATATATAATTTATTTCAGAAAATTATATATATATATGTTTTAAATTCCCTCTCTCTCTCTCTCTCTCTCTCGTTTGTCTGTCTTGAGGAGAGGTCCTTGCCTTATAGGATCCCCAATGTCCAGCTTCATCTGGTCTCTAGTCTTGGCCCAGCCCTCTCAGATATCATTAATCATTTTTTTTTTTTTTTGTTAATTGTGGCAAAAAACACATAGCATAAAGTTCATCATTTAACCACTTCTGAATGCACAAGACAGTGGTATTAAGTACATTCACGTTGTTATGCTACCATCACCCCATCCATCTCCAGAGCATTTTCATCTTGCAAAACTAAAACTCTGTGCCCATTAAACACCTTCTCTCCCTGCTCCCACCCACTGTACCACCATCCTACTTTCCATTTCTATGAATTTGACTTCTTTAGATACGTACAGAAGGGTTTGTCTTTTTGTGTCTGGCTTATTTTACTTAGTACAATGTCCTTAAGGTTCATCAATGTTGTAACATGTGACATGATACACTTCCTTTTTAAGAACAGATAATATTCCACTGTGTGTATGGACCGAACCATATTTTATTTATCTACGTACTCATCTACCAATGGGTTGTTTCCACTTTTTGGCTATTGTGACTAATACTGCTGTGAGCATGTGTGTACAGAGGTCTGTTTGAGACCCTGCTTTCAACTCTTTGGGATATATACCCAGCAGTGAGATTGCTGGGTCATGTGATAGATTCTATTCTAATTGCTATGAGGAATCGCCATACTCTATTCCATAGTGATTGTGCCATTTTACATTTCTACTAACAGTCATAGGGTTTTAATTTCTCCACCTCCTTGAGGTTTTGGTGTTTTGTTTGTTTAATATATTTTTATTGATTTCAGAGAGTAAGGGAGGAAGAGGGAGAGAGACATAGAAACATGAATGATGAGAGACAATCATCGATCGGCTGCCTCCTATAAGCTCCTCACTGGGGATCGAGCCCACAACCCGGACATGCACCCTTGACTGGAATCTAACCTGGGGCCTTTCAGTTCTCAGGCCGACATTCTATCCACTGAGCCAACTGAATAGGGCTGGGGTGTTTTTCTTTTAATAGTAGCCATCCTAATTATTGTAGGTTTGATTTGTGATCTTACTCATCCTTCACTATAGAGTGTTGGTGCTGGAATTGCCTATAAAGACCCTTTGATCTGGCCCCTGAATTGTACATTTTATAGTCAGTAGCTTGAGGTCCTTGTAACTTGCCTAAGGTCCTCCCCCCTTCCCCCTTCCCACACACACATACATACACCTGCACTGGTCAATGTGGGGAGGATGTTGGAGAGACAGCGTGAGGCCCCTCCCGGGGTGTCTCGTCAGAGACCTCAGGCTGTCGGTCCAGGACATTACAGCACTTTGCCTCAACCTCTGTACTTCTTCTGCCTGGTCACCTGCCCCCCTCTCCCTCCCCAAAGTTGAAGTCTTTCCATTCTCAAAACAAATAAAGGAACCCACGTCGCTGCCAAGGCCAGGGAGGGAGCCGCAATCCCAGCCCTTTTCACAAGTCTTCGGTTTCAGTTGCCGCTAAAGTAGCTTTCAGATAGCCAATCTTGGCTCCTACTTTTTCCTCTCAGCACTCATGGGTGTAGTGCTCTCTGAACCTGTTTCCTCATTTACCAAATGGGGTTAAAAATAGCCCCTGCCTCACTAGGTTGTTGATAGGGTGAAATGGAAAATGCATGTAGGGCACTTGGCCTAGCGTAGTCTGCGTGATAGATGTTTGCTTGGAGGAACTGGGGGCGAGCCAGGCCTCACCGTGTCTCCTGACTCCCAGCTCAGTCTCTCCCTGCAGGGGTGCACTTGTGTCTCCTCGCTGAGAGATTGGGGAAAGTATGTAGAGTGATAGAGTGCAGAGGCAAAATAAAAAGCCTCTTGGAGACCAGCATGTTGAGGTTTGGGGACCGAGGTCCTCATTCAGACCCGGTCCAGAAGGAGAATTGTGATGGCTGAGGCCCAAAGCCCTTAGAGATAGAAACCAAACAAACCCTAATCTCCTCAGCCCCGTGGAGCCCAGCTCTCAACAGCTGAGACAACACTACCCAAGGCTGAGGCCACAGAGAAAGCGGACTAAAGGCAGAGGGCTTGGGGACTGCGATTTGAGGGGGGATCTCAATGGAACTTGGGGGTGTAAGCCACCTGGGGTGACTCAGCCGTGTGACTCAGCTCTTCACCAGTCTCTTCCCCCGACCCCGAACAGAAGGCAGAGGAAGTAGAGCCATGCTAGGGTCTACTGACCAGAGAAGCCTCTACATCCACATCTCCCCTGTTCTGGGTGGTGGGGGAGGAGGGGGAATTGGGGGAGTCTGTGTTGTTCGGAGCACCATGGGCTTGGTTTGGTGCCAGGGCTCTTGAAGGAAAAGTGGCTGATGTGCTCGCTCCCTGCTGATTCTACTTCCTCCTCAAGCCTCTGATTCCAGATTCTCTGTTCGGCCTCGCAGCCAGTCCCTTGAGGCCCTGAAATTCCTGAGATCTGTTTTCACCTTGTAGCACTGGGAAGTCTTCCAGAAGGTGACGGAGGTCTTCATCCTGGTGCCCGCACTGCTGGGGCTGAAGGGGAACCTGGAAATGACCCTGGCATCGAGGCTGTCCACCGCAGTGAGTGTCCTGGCCGGGAGGGCTAGGGTATGCAGGACTCCGGGCAGCACAGAGCCAGGATGGGAGCTCGCTACCGGCCTCCTCAACGGAGTGTGAGGCTGGGGTGCGCAGGTGTCGGGAGATCCCAGGCTGGGTGTCCTGCTCCTGGCAGGGGCTCCTTGCTTGAGTGGTTCCCAGGCTCGGTTTCTGGATGTCTCAGCCATCCCTGGACTCTTGCCCCACCCCCTGTTTTGCAACCCGCCTCGTGACTGTTTGTGCAGCTTTGACAGGCAGGCATCATGCTGGTCCCTCCACCTGCACAGATGGGGGCCGCCTCTGATCTCCAGCCCTGCTCTGCAGCTGGGCCGGAGCGGAGCCAGGCCTGCCCCGCCTCTCCCGTCCGTTCCCTTTCCCCCTGGCTCTGGAGGAATAGATGAGGAGGGAAGCCCATCACTCCCACCTCCCACAGCCCCTTCGATCAGCCGTGACGGTTCAAAGGCTGAACCAGATACAGGGCCCTGGGGTAGGAGGTGGAGGCAATCAGACTCAGGAGGCAGGGGGACCAGGTGGCAGAGAGGTCCCCGCATGGCCACAAGCCTGGAGAAGGCAGCAGAGAGAAGTGGTAGCCAGCCTAGTCTGCCCCAACTGGCCCTGCTCCTGGCCTCCTGTGCCTCCTCACTCCTTCCCAAACACACTAGCGGCCATAGTCCTGCACCAGCAGCTAATCTTTTCTTCGTTAGGACAGGGGGTCCATCGGGCCATTCTAATCTGTGCAGGAATGAGCTGTCCGGGAGAGCAGGGCAGAGGGTGGAATCTGGGGTGGGCAGGTGTAGGGAGCAGCTCTCCTGAGAGGAGGAGACTGCCTTAGGAGCCCGCTTCCAACCACCACTCAGCCACGGGAGCTCAAGGAGCTCCTTCCCTCTCCTCCAGCCCCCCATTCCTGCTTCACGCTCCACGGGGTCATGTTCTAGCCCCAGAGTCTTAGGGCACATGCACTGCTTCCTGAGCCAGTTGGAGGCTAATGGTCGGAGCTGCAGGCCTTTTCCAGCATGGAGTCCCAGCCCCCTTTCCTGCCTCTCCCAGGCCAACATCGGGCACATGGACACACCCAAGGAGCTCTGGCGGATGATCACTGGGAACATGGCTCTCATTCAGGTAAGATAGCAGGAACCGGAGGGACCGGGCTGAGCATCCTCCTTGGTCAGGATGAAAAGCTTGGGCAGCCCCAGCTGGGTCTGAAGTGAAGTTCCAACGTCCTGCCGAGCTGGCTTCTCCGAAAGCAGCTTTAGGAGGCAACCAGGTTTCCCAGGAAAGCAGCCAGGAAACTCAGTATCTCAGGGTCCGTTCCCGACTCCCAGTGCTGCAGGAGCTCGTGTCCCCACAGCTGAGACTCCGAACACTGGAGTGCTGAAATGTCCTTGACCGCCCTTGTCTCCCGTCCCCTTGAGGCCCAAGCCTTGTCTCTGGGCCGAAGTCCTAGGCGCCATTGAACCTCACCCCAGTCCCCAGAGGAACACTCATTCCACCAGTAACATGTCCCGGGCTCCTGCGGGGTGCCCTGCACAGTACTAGTGTCCGGTGTGAAGCTAAATAAACAAAGACATCATTCCGGCGTGGGAGGACTGGACCGTCCTGCCCCACCCACCTCCTGGGCTGCAGAGAGCCAGGACAAGGACTCAGCTAAGAAGCTCTCTGCTCCCAGGGCTCTCCAGTTACCACCACTCCCATCCCCCCTCAGGTGCAGGCCACAGTGGTGGGCTTCCTGGCATCCATTGCAGCTGTCGTCTTTGGCTGGATCCCTGATGGCCATTTCAGTATCCCGCATGCCTTTCTGCTGTGTGCCAGCAGTGTGGCCACGGCCTTCATCGCCTCCCTGGTACTAGGTAAGGAGGGAAGGGGAGGGGGGGAGGAGGGTGCGAGGGGAAGGGACCAGGGAGAGCTGCCCAGGGCTGTCAACGGTCTGGCACCTCCAGTCTCCTTTTTGTTGCTCCCCCCTTTACCTCTTCTGACCTCTCCTTCCTCCCAGGTATGATCATGATTGGGGTCATCATTGGCTCTCGAAAGATTGGAATCAACCCAGACAACGTGGCCACTCCCATTGCTGCCAGTCTGGGCGACCTCATTACCTTGGCACTGCTTTCAGGCATCAGCTGGGGACTCTACCTGGAGCTGGGTGAGGCTGTGGCTTCCGAGGGTGTGAGCTGGGTGGCCTCCTGGGTGGGATTGGGAGAGATGATTAGCATATATGCAGATGTGTAAGCATTTCTTCTGTGTTCTTTATTTGACTGGAATACAGCTGTAATAACTCCCATCTTAGAGAATTGAAGTTAAGTGCTTATCTCAGATTCATGCAGGCAGCAGGGGCAGGATAGGAAGTACCAGGGAAATAAGCATATTCCTGCTGGATTATTGCTTCCCTTGGAGGGGTGAGGTGTACAGGGAAAAGGAAGGGAACTGAAGCTGGAATCTGCTTGCAAAATGGAGAAGAGGGGCAGGGGGAGAGATAGTTATTTCTGGGGATCAAAGCAGGAAACCTAGAATCTGGTCTTGGCCCCTTATGAGTCCAGGGCTGGGGAAGCTTTCAAACTTGGTTTTCTCATCTACAAAAGGGAAAAGGCTGGTCCCACCACTGTGGCCCCATCTCCTGGACTCACAGTGAGAATCAAACGAGGTGATATGTTTCCAGGCTTTTAGCGTGGGGTCGCTGTTGATGTGTTGGGATATTGGCAGGTTTAGCCAGGGGGAGGCTGGGAAGAGGGTGCCACGGTGCTCACCTCCATCTGATCTCTGCTTCTCAGAAAACTGGAAATACATCTACCCCCTGGTGTGTGCCTTCTTCGTGGCCCTGCTGCCTGTCTGGGTGGTGCTGGCCCGGCGGAGCCCAGCCACAAGGGAGGTGCTGTACTCGGGCTGGGAGCCTGTCATCATCGCCATGGCCATCAGCAGGTAGGCTCGGGCTGTGGGTGCGTGCCCCCGCCCACTCCCCCTGCCACAGGCTCCCTGAAGAGAGGGAGCATGGCACAGACCCTGGAAATGCCTTAAGTAGGATGTCCGTCACATGTCCTTCTATTACAAATGACAGAAACCATCTGAAGAGGATTTCATTGAAAATCAGAACACATTAGCTCAGGGAACTAAAAAGGCACAGCTGGATTCAGGAGCAGAAATTATACCATCAGGGCCCCAGAATTCGCCATCTCTTGGCTCTGTGTTTCCCTGTGCTGGCCTGCAGTTCCGGATTTATACTTTCCTACTTGTACTAATTCGGTGGTAAGAGAGATTCTTTCTCTCAACCGTTTCGCAAAGTCCTGTTATAAAGTTTCATTGGGAAAAATAATAATAATAAGTAAAATTTCATTGGCTCTCCTTCAGTCACATGATTATTTCCTGAACCAATCGCTGTGGCCTTGGGGATGTGATGCTTTGATTGCATGAGTTTGGAGCCTAGGCATTTTTGGAGTAATGCCATGGGCACCACAACAATGGAGTTTGAGAAAGACCATCCTTGAGGAAAGGGCAACAAATACTGAACAGGCAGAACAGCAGAGGTTGTCCTATGGATGGCACCTCTAGCCAGCTTGGGAGGTAGGTGCCATCAGCTCGCTCAGGGGGCACTGTGACAGTCCGGTGTTAGGAGCAGCAGCTGGTTCTGGCAAGAGAAGCAAAGACTGGGAGATCAGGGACTCCTGAGAGCCACATTGCTTAGCTTCCTGCCCACGGCCAGATGGGCCTGTTTCTCTCAGACCAGGGACCAGAACAGAACCCTTTAGTGGCCTTTGTGTCATTTTGTCTTTGTATCTTTGTAGTGTGGGAGGCCTCATCTTGGACAAGACTGTCTCGGACCCCAACTTTGCAGGAATGGCGGTCTTCACACCGGTGATTAACGGTGAGGTTTGGCCTCAGCTGCCGGGGCAAAGGGGAGGGCAGAAGAGGGTTTGGAGGCTTTGCCTCAGTCAGGATTGTAGCAGGCAAGAGAATCCAGCTCAGCTAGTTCAAGACCTGAATGAAGGGGCGTCTCCCAGAAGTGAGAGCCGGTAGGACCAACAAGAGATGTGGAGACATCCAGAGATGAGCAGCAACAGGAAGCCCTGGTTCTCAAGGGACGAGGGGAGAAAATAGTGACAGAAGCCCAGAGAGCCCTCCTCTGCCCCCAGCAAGGATCAGCCACAGCCATTAAGCAGAGAGGGAGCAGGAAAGAAATACCTGGCCTCGGTCTCTCCTTCCCTCCCTTTCTGATCACCTACTCGTGCCTCCTGTTGAACAAATCTAAATAGAAGCACCATCCCGAAAGGCTGGGCGATTCAGTCTGTAGAGTCAGCCTCTCAGGGCTCAGAGGCACAGTTCCTGGGTACCAGATTCCAGAGCGCAGAGCTCACTGACACTTGACATTGGTTACTAGAACCATTGGGTGCCTGGGTCTGCTCGGCGCTTTGCAGAGGGCCCCAAGCAAGCAGGGCCTCGTCCCCTGGGCCGTGTGCGACAGCAGGTGCGCACACTGCGAGGCTGGAGAAGTCAGGCTCCCTGAGTCCACAGATCCGCCTGTGTCCCTTCCTGCACGTGCATGAGTCTCCCACACCTCCAGAGCGGGGAGTATAGGAGGATTGGAAGACTCAGGAATGAGGGTAGCGGGCTGTCTTTGTCTTTCTTCTCCATGTCTCCCTCTCCTCCTGGGGACTCGTCCCTCCCCCCATGTCTAAGGTCTTCTGTCTCCGCAGGTGTGGGGGGCAATCTGGTGGCCGTGCAGGCCAGCCGCATCTCCACCTTCCTCCACATGAACGGAATGCCCGGGGAGAACTCCGAGCAAGCCCCTCGCCGCTGCCCCAGTCCCTGCACCACCTTCTTCAGTCCTGGTAATGGCAGAGGCCCCGCCTCCTGGGTCCACCCCAGCCCCGGAGGGAAGGGTCAGCAGTCAGTGAGCTTCATGAGGAACCAGCTGGGCCCAGATACCAGCTGTCAGAGAGAGCACAGCCCAGGCAGGAAAGCTCTCCTTTCCTGAGAACCCCTGGGGGTGGGGACCAGGGATGGAGAGGTAGAGGCAGTCAGCTGTCTGTTGCCCAGGAGTGTAGCATGGTACCTCCTGATTTTGAAAGACCTTCGGGGCCAGGTGTCTTCCTCACCCCTCTTCTTCCTCTGTTCCAGATGTGAATTCTCGCTCGGCCCGAGTCCTCTTCCTTCTCGTGGTTCCGGGACACCTGGTCTTCCTCTACACCATCAGCTGTATGCAGGGCGGGCATACCACCCTCACACTCATCTTCATCGTCTTCTACATGACAGCCGCACTGCTCCAGGTACCGACTGGCAGGGGCCCAGGGACCGGGCTGCCCTGCAGCGGGGGAGGGTTGGCCCATCAGACACTCAGTTTCTCCGGGAATGGATGGCGGATAGACACTGGACAGGGGCTTAGACACACAACACGCTGGGTCACAAACACACTGGGTGACTTTAGCCCAGTGGCAGAATGATCTCTGAGCCCAGTGACTGATGTGTTTGTAAATTGAGAGGAATGAGCCAAAAGTGGAGGTTTTCAGCAGGTGGTTGTAGGGCGCTGAGCAGGTGCGCTCTGGCCACAGAGCCCCGAGTGGCTCTGCTTTGCATGTTGGGCTTTCTCAGGAGATTTCATATGAATAAAGGGTTTCCTGGCTTGAAACCACTGTGCTAGATCCTCAGCAGGATCCTGTTCAGCCTGGCCATTCTCTGATATTCTCCCTTGTTTTATTACATTTTTCAACATTTTATTTAGAAATAATTATATATTCGCAGGAAAGTGTGTGTGTGTGTGGGGGGGGGGGAATGTATAGAGAAATCCCGTGTACTATCCACCAGTCTCTCCCAGTGGGACCCTCTTACATAAGTATAGTACGATGTCAAAAGCAGGAAATCAAAGCTGATGCAATCCACAGGGCTTATTCAGGTTGCACTTGTTTTATATGCACTCGTGTGTGTGTGTGTGTGTGTGTGTGTGTGTGTGTGTGTAATTTTGTTCAGTGTTATCACATGTGTAGCTTCATGTAACCACCACCAAGTCAAGACACAGAAGTGGTCCCTCAGCACAGGGTTCCCTCATGCTACCGCTTGGTAGCCACACCCACCCTAATTATTACATTTTAAACTTGTAGAGATTTTTTTTTTTTTAATAGGTAATAACAGTCACATTACAGTTCAAACATTTTAAAGGTTCATAGTGAAACCTCAGTGAAAGGTCTTCTCTGATGCCCACCCCTACCCCCAACCATCCAGTTCTCTTCCTCTCAGGCCATCTGTGTATCCATTTCTTTTTTTTTTTTTTTTAATATATTTTATTGATTTTTTTACAGAGAGGATTAGAGAGTTAGAAACATTGATGAGAGAGAAATATCGATCAGCTGCCTCCTTCACACCTTCCATTGGCCAGTCTGCAGGCCATTGAGCCAAACTGGTTAGGGCTATATACATCTCTTTTTTTCTTTTTTTTCTTTTTTAATATATTTTATTGATTTTTCAAAGAGAGGAAGAGAGAGGGATAAAGAGTTAGAAACATCGATCAGCTTCCTCTTGCATACCCCCTAATGGGGACATACCCACAACCAAGGTACATGCCCTTGACCGGAATCGAACCTGGGATCTTTCAGTCCACAGGCCAATGCTCTATCCACTGAGCCAAACCGGTTTCGGTTGTATCCATTTCTTATATGCCCTCCGAGCTGTTTCAAAACTATTTTTCTTACTTTTCTCTTTCTTTTACACATAGGTAGCCCTGCTTTTTTCACATAACTATGTGTCTATCACAGAAATCATTCCACATCAACATGTAGAGAGAAGAGCACCCTGATATTTTACAGCTGCGTTCTGTTCTGTTCTGGAGATGCACCCTAATTTCATTTAACCAGTCCCTACTGGCCATCCCTTATCCCGGCGCCCCTGACCCCCACCTTGAGAAAGGCTGTGTGTGTGTTGAGACATCTTGGCAAGGGCCGGGCAGAGAATCCACCAAATGCAGTTTCCCCAAAGCAGTCACCCAGGTCACCACATTCCCTTGCACGTGTCTGAGGCTGGGAGTTAGCCCTTGGCCTGCATAAGCCTCAGCTCATTAGGCCTCTCTGCCCTCTTCTTCCTGATCCTTTGCTGCCTCCTCAGCCATGTGTCCCGGGACCTGTTTGGAGCTGGAATGTAGGGACAGCTGCTGCCATTCCCTTCCTGGGCACATCCTGAAGTCCTCCTGCCGAGTTCTTTATCTGGGGCTCTGTGAAAAGCGTGTGAAGTTATTGGAGGGGAGGGGCTGGCCCTCACCCAGGGTCAGGGCTAGGGCCACAGGAGTACAAGGCAGCTGTGCAGGGGAGGAAGGCTGTAAAGGGTGCTGGAACTGTAAGCACCTGCCCCCTGGAGAGAAGACAGGAGAACAATCAAATTTGCCTAAAAATAGGTATCAACTCTAGTTTCTTTTCTTTTCTTTTTTTATTAAAATATATTTTGTTGATTTTTTTCAGAGAGGAGGAGAGAGGGATAGAAACATCGATGAGAGAGAAACATCGACCTGCTGCTTCTTGCACACCCCCCACTGGGGATGTGCCTGCAAGCAATGTACATGCCCTTGACCGGAATCGAACCTGAGACCTTTTAGTCCGCAGGCTGACGCTCTACCACTGAGCCAAACCGGTTTCGGCAACTCTAGTTTCTTTACTCTGCAAGAGTCTCTGCTTCCCGCATCTGAGCCCCTTAGAGCAGGATTTACATACCACAGCATTTGCAAAGTACAGTCAAGAATAAAACCTCCTAAATTACTGTGCTGGAGTCTTCCCGTTAGAACCCATGTCATTCTCACCCGGGTGCAGTGATTTGGGGACCCCACATGTCAGGGAGGGTGCAGAGCACAGAGATGTGGGCCTACCCATGGCATATAAATGCATTTCCAGCTTAAACGTGCGTGTGAATCTGTTAAAATGCAGATTCTGATTTAGGAGATGGGGGGGGCGGGGCTGAGACTTCTTTCATGCAAGCTCCCAGCTGCTGTTGATGCTGCTGGTCCTGGGCCACTAGCAGGGCAGGGTTCTAATCCAGATCCTTCTTCATTGTCTGTGGTAATGGCGGGAAAGCCAGGGCCCAGAGAAATCGCAGCAGCAGATAATCCAAAGTGTCTTTTGAATTGCTATGCACTCTCTGCTTTCTACTTGTTCGTGATTCTGCTCTGCTAAGAGTAACATTAAATCATATTCACATGCTTTGAGCCCACTGCAGCAGAGCAGGAGGGGTCAGGAAGAAACCAGCCCGGGATAATCAGCTGCGATTCAGATGGCTGTGCAGACAGCAGTCTCAAACACTGTTCTTATTCCACTCGGCTTCTCTGGGGAGAAGTCCCTCTGTGAAAAGCCAACTTCTGCCCCTGCCCCCTGCCAAGCTCCTCCTGGAGACGCCAGCATGGCGGGAGCTAGAGTGACCCGAGGATAGGATGACCTAGAATTAGAGGCAAGAGTTCCTGTGGCAGGACAGTGTCGAGGAGAGAATCCAAGATGGCGGCATAGGTAACACCTAACTGCAGCCTCACACAACAATTTCAATAAAATACAACTAGAATACAAAATGGACATTACCCAGAACTACAGGAAAGTCAACTGACTGGAAAATCTACAACGAGAAGGAAAGAGAAAACCAGAAGGAAAATCAGAGGAGCTGTAAAAGCTTAAGGTACAGAGACACGTTGCGCTCACAGAGAGGACGGAGCCGGAGAGGAGGGGGAGGCTGAGTGCCTGGCTGGCGTTCCCTAGCAGGAAGGAGATAAAAGCTCCAGACTGTGCTGAACCCCAGATCCAACAGCACTGAACCCCAGTTCTAGGCCAGACCCTGGGGACCCAGGCTCATACAGAGGGAGCCTGGGCTGTTAGGCGGAATCTCAGGGGAGCGGCCAAAGGCAGAGCCCCCAGAGGCGCACACACTATACGCAAAGGACTGACTGTTGACTCTGCTGCTAGATTGCCCTAGGGGGAAGGAGACAAAAGCTCTGGACTGTGCTGAGCCCCAGTTCCAATTGCACTGAACCCCAGTTCTAGGTCAGACCCCGGGGACCCAGGCTCATACAAAGGGAGCTTGGGCTGTAAGGCAGAACCCCGGGGGAGCGGCAAAAGGAGGTCCCAGAGGCGCACATATTGTGCGCAGAGAACGGACAGTAGACTGTGCCGCTGGATTGCCTTAGTGGGAAGGAGACAAAAGCTCCAGACTGCTCTGAACCCCACTTCCAACTGAACGGAACCCCAGTTCCAGGCTCATTGGGGGAGAGCCTAAACTGTTTGATAGCAGGAGAAACTCGAGGGCATCTTTCTCTCAGAGGTGCTTGCAATGAGTACTGAAGGACCCTGAGGAATACTGAGACTCAGGAGCCTCATAGGGTGTGGCTGACGGAAGCCAAGGCTGTAGGCTCCACCCTGAAACTCCGCCCCATCTAAGCTGAACACAGACTTTTAAGGCTACCAACTCAGGGAGGCTGCAAAAATTCCGAGACAAGGAAACAGATCACAAATGATAGAAATGGAGGACAAAAAGCGACTGGATGTAGAGTTCAAAACCAGGCTTATAAGGTTTTTCAAGAACTTCCTAGAAAAGGTCGATAAGACCTATGAGGATATGAAAAGGGATCAACAAGAAAAAATATGGGATCAACAAGAAATAATAAGGGATCAACAAGAAATAAAGAATACATTGTCTGAAATAAAAATATTACACAGAGTCCTGAAAACAGAATGGAAGATCGCAAGAATCAAGTCAAAGATTTGGAACATAAAGAGCCAGAAGACACTCCTCCGCAAAAGCAAGAAAACAAGAGATTACCGGACTAAACAAGAAAGAAAAGAAAAGAAAAGACTTGATATATGGTAAATGTTCAGATTCTGTCAGCTCTTGTTATTATCTATTATTTCCCAAGCCCCTGAGGGGCCCAGAACCTCTCATGTTAGGTTATCAAGATTAAAAGACTATTCTGTTTTTCACACGTTAAAAAAAAAAAAAAAAAGACAAGAGAATCCAGAAAGTTGAAGATAATGTAAGAAACCTCTGGGACAACTTCAAGCGAACCAACATCAGAATTATGGGAGTCCCAGAAGAAGAGAGAGAGCAAAATACTGAAAACATACTGAAAGAAATAGTGACAGAAAACTTCCCCCACCTGGTGAAAGAATTAGACCTACAAGTCCAGGAAGCGCACAGAACCCCAAACAAAAGGAATCCAAAGAGGACCACACCAAGACACATCATAATTAAAATTCTAAGAGCAAAAGACAAAGAGCAGCAAGAGACGAAACTGGTTTGGCTCAGTGAATAGAGCGTCGGCCTGCAGACTGAAGGGTCCCGGGTTCAATTCTGGTCAAGGGCATGTACCTGGGTTGCAGGCACATCCCCAGTAGGAGGTGTGCAGGAGGCAGCTAATCGATGACTCTCTCTCTCTCTCTCTCTCATCGATATTTCTAACTATCTCTCTCCCTTCCTCTCTGTAAAAAATCAATAAAATATTTAAAAATAATAATAATAAAAGCAGCAAGAGAGAAACAGGTGGTTACCTATAAAGGAGCACCCATACGATTGTCAGCTGATTTCTCAACAGAAACCATGCAGGCCAAACGGGAATGGCAAGAAATATTCAAGGTGATGAATAGCAAGAATTTACAGCCAAAAATAATCTACCCAGCAAAGCTATCACTCAGAATCAAAGGCCAGATAAAGAGCTTCACTAATAAAATAAAAAAAAGCTAACGGAGTTCATCACCGCCAAACCAGAAATATATGAATTGCTGAAGGGGGTTCTTTCGGAAGAGAAAGAAAATAAAGATAAAAATTATGAACAACAAATACATAACTATCAACAAGTGAATCTAAAAACCAAGGGAATTGAAAAACCTGATGAACAATATTAACTTGAATATAATAGAATCAGAGGTATGGAAGAGGAGTGGGGGTGCGGGAAGAGACTGAACATAAACTGTGCACCTATGGATGAGGACAGTTGGGGGTGGGGAAAGGGCAGAGGGTGGGGTGGGAACCTGGTGGAGGGGGGAAAAAATGGGGAACCTTTGTAATATGAACAATAAAGGTTTATTTAAAAAAAAAAGTTCCCGTGGCAGGTGGGATTTCAGTCAGGGAGCAGAATGGAATGTCAATGTGGGTGACCCGCAGAGCAAAGCATCTTTCTTTCTAAAGGGTCACATTGTGCCTGTCATCTGTTCAAGGGGGTAACTGTGGGGCAGGGAACAGAGAGGTCACCGAGTGGAGAGATGAACTGTCCCAGCGTCAGGACTGTGGAGAGCCAAACCTTGTGATGCAATGCATGGGTCCGATCCAGTGGCCTTGGGCTCCCCCTGGAGAGAGAGGGAGGCCCTAGACCAAACTCTTCTGTCTCCCCAGGTGCTGATTCTCCTGTACATCGCTGACTGGATGGTGCACTGGATGTGGGGCCGGGGCCTGGACCCTGACAACTTCTCCATCCCGTACTTGACAGCTCTGGGGGACCTGCTCGGCACCGGGCTCCTCGCACTCAGCTTCCATGTCCTCTGGCTCATTGGGGACCGAGACACGGACGTCGGGGACTAGCCTGGTCACTCAACCTTCTCCCCGCCCTCTGCACTTTCTTCGTGTCCCCCTCCCCGCACCCCACTCCACACTCCCACCTCTTTCTAGGACTTCACTTTGATACCGGATTCTCATTATTTTCAATGGGAATTTTTATACATTGAGCCAAGTTTGTACAGCAAAAATTTTCAGGCAGGACAGAGGGACTGAGGCAAGCAGTACCAATAGATTTTTGAGACCATCACCAAGTGCAATTTCATGGTTGGTGCCTCCAGGTGAGCTGGATAGGGGCAGGGTTCTCGCCTGGGATCTGGGAGCATGTTTTGGCAAACTTAGCTTTGGCCCTAGTGAGAAACCCTTGGTGAGTTGGCTCTGGTGTTTTCCTTTCTCGTTCTCTTCTCTTTTTTTTTTTTGGTCAAACAGAGGGATAAATATCACCCCTCCCCCCCCCCACTCCAACTCCTTCCCCTCACACGCACATACACACTTTTTCTAGAAATGGACCAACTTCAAAGCAGGAGACAACTGCTCTTGGCTCCATGTAATCCTAGCTCTGTTCTCTGTTCTCTGTCCTCTCTCAGAGAGACTAAGGTGGACTGACTATTCAGATTGTGCACGTGCCCCTGACCCAAAGGCTGGTAAGCACCAGTGACATTTTTGCAATCGATCGTCACGTTTAGGAAGAAATGAGCGGTGGTCTAGTTTCCTTGTTGACTCCTATTCACCCATAGGTTTGCCAAGATCTGTGTTTTCTCTGGGCCCAGAGGACCAATCCTTTCTCTCTGTTCAACCTCCATCTCTAATTGCCTCTAAGCACTAACTTCTCCCAGAGTTGACCAGATTGGGTTCCAAGATTAGGGACAGGAATGGGTACGTGGAGAATGGTTGGAAGGTGGAAGGCCACAGGGATGTCTCACCACTGCTGTTTCTCCTGAGGACACATGGTCACGCAGCCATCTTAAGACTGTCCCTTCATAAACTCCCTCATTCTGTCACGTCGTGGCATTAGTTGTCCTTTGCCCACATTCACCATTCATTCATTTATTCCTTCAACAAGTACACAGCCTCCCCATGAGGAGTGCTGCTGCTGGCATGGTCTGAAACATCCATTGAGCAATATTGAGTGCCTACTGCATGTCAGGTGCTGTGCCAGGCACTGACCAGCCAGTGGGAAGGGAAAGACAGCTCCAACCTCACCTTATTCCCCAGGTAAAGGCCTCAGGCTCTCTCATTTTCAAGCTGTGTTTGCATCTGTATCACCACACCAGGTTCTGCCTCTGGGTCTCCCTCCCAGGTGCCACCTGTATAAAATGCTGACCCCCAGCTACAGGCTCCACCAATATTCATTTCTCACCTTTCCTGCCCTCCACCTGTCTTCCCCAACCACCCAGAAAAGGATTCAGAACTAGTAGACTAGACATCAACTAGCTGCCTCTACTTTTCTCTGCCTAGCCCAAGGTCAGGAGAACACCGGAGTCTTTATCTTACCCACATGTGACTGAACAGATCGGAAGTCTGTCCACACATGTGTACCAATCTGGGCGTTTTGGATGCAGGTTTTTTCTAGCCTCCCTATCCACAGCCTTCCCAGAAACCCTCCCCTCTTCACCTAAAGAACCCACCTCCGGGGAAAGGCGAAGGAATGACCCTGTCTCTTACCAGCACCATGCCTTATCCAGGCACTGGCCCTGTACCTCCAGACTCTGTCTTCTCTCTCCCTCCATTCCCACCCTGGCCACCTAGTGGAGCTAGAACCTTAGAGTTGGAAGGAATCTTAGAGGTTGTTCAGTTGGAATGGCGTCCAACAGAGTTCATTAACACCAGCCTGGGCTTGTCTCTGCTCCTCAGGCCTTGCATCTTGTCATCTCCCCTTCATCACCTCCCACTCCCCCTTCTCCAAACACATTTGCACACACTCCAGTATAGACACCAAAAGCAACTCCTCCGCCCCCGAAGCTGTGCCCTGTGCTCCCCAGGGGTCCCTGCCCAGTCACTCACCCCTTCCTCGTCTCGGCCAGGCTGCCGGGAAGGCCCTGGAGCTTGTTCCTTTGCTGAAGAGGCAGGGAGGTAGGTGCACCCCCAGTCCTGAGTGTGTGAGCAGAGGGAGGACTGTGGGGTGAGACGGCACGAAAATGAAGTTGACTTTCATGGAAGGTTCCTTTCTTTTCTCTAATTGCACAAACCGCATGTACTTTCGGCCTGGCTGCAAGGAGCGACATTGGTTTACTCTTGTACCCTTAAAAAGTTACAGAACTGTGTCTTAAGAGAATTATTTATAGTTACTATAACTGATTTGACAGATGTCAACATAACTGATAAATTATATTTGGTAAATAAAGAGGACGTTTATTTAGGTGGTTGGTTCCTGTGTGTCTCGTCCAGAAGCAGCTTCAAAAGAAAAGACAAATAAAATCAGCTTCAGCTGTTGTTTTTGGGCCCCTCTGTTGTCCCACCTCCCTCAGACGTGGAAAGGGGCCAACGCGCGCGCAACAAGAAATGGAGCATCTCGCCCTGGCTGGTGCTGCTCAGGGGTTAGAGCACTGGCCCACTCACCGAATTGGCTTCAATTCCTGGTCAAGGGCTTGTACATGGGTTGCAGATTCCATCCCCAGCCCTGGTTGGGATGCAGGGGGGAGGGAGGCAACCAACCGAAATCTCTCACATGGATGTTTCTCCTCTTCCCTCTTCCCCTCTCTTCCATTCTTCCTAAAAATCAATGGGAAAATATCTTCAGGTGAGGATTAACAGAAGAAACATCTCTGAAATACAGAGCTCTGTGATAGAAAACATACATCAGTCATTGATTGAGAAGCCATCGGTGCATTGGCCCAGGGTTGCTGTATTGTGCCGACGGGTTCAGGTTCCTTCCTGCAGAGGTACCCTTTGGTTGGGTCAAAATAATAATTATTACTTGTTGAATATTTACTATACACCTTCCCTGTAAGCCCTTAGGAAATTTACGATGGACTGCAAACAAAGGGTTCGAAATCAGGCCTTAGTTCAAATCCCAGCTCTTCTGTTTGTGTTGGTGTGAGCTTGACCAAGGTATTTGCCCTCTCTGAACTTTAGTGTCCTCATCTGTACTAAAACCTATTTCCTCAGATTATTGGGAGACTTCATTGAGATAATACAATACTAAAAATGCCCAGCACAGTCCTAACCTGTTTGGCTCAGTGGATAGAGCTTCGGCCTGTGAGCTGAAGGGTCCCGGTTGGACATGTACCTTGGTTGCAGGCACATCCCCAGTTGGGGGTGTGCAGGAGGCAGTTGATTGATGTTTCTCACTATCCTTCTTCTCTGTAAAAAAAAAATCAATAAAATACATTTTTTTTTTAAAGAATGCCCAGTACATAGTAAACCAAAAAATACTAGTCAATGTTAAGGAGGGGAGCATTTAAGAAATTGGCGTTTTATGACAAGCCTGAGCTCTAGTACTAACTCTTCAAAGCAGCAATATTAATATGCTATTAAGGGTAATGGAAAGAGGACAATTGCATGTTGGTTATTATTCATATATTTTATGCATATAATGTTTTAATATACAGTATAGTATACTGTACAGTATCTGTCATAATAAAATCATAATATGCTAATTAGACCGGACAACCTTCCAGATGAAGCTACAGCGGCAGGGGGCCGAGTCCTTTGCACTAATTTCATGCATCAGGCCTCTAGTACTTTTATTATTTTATTTTTATTTAATATATTTTATTGATTTTTTTACAGAGAGAAAGAGAGAGTTAGGAACATTGATAAGAGAGAATCATCAATCAGCTGCCTCTTGCACACTCCCTACTGGGGATGTGCCCGCAACCAAGGTACATCATGCCTTGTCCAGAATCAAACCTGGGACCTTTCAGTCCACGGGCCGACGCTCTATCCACTGAGCCAAACCGGTTTCGGCTATTAATTTTAAAAATAGCCTCATTTACAACTTCAAAAATATCTCTAATAATTGCAAGGCAGATATTATCGCCATTTTATGAGGGAGATACTGGGGCTCAGAGGAGTTAAATGTCTTGCCCCAGGACCTGTATTCACACCCAGGTCTCTCTCAGCCTGGGGCCCTCCCTCTAATGCATCCAGTCCAATGAACCAGCTGACCCAGTATCCCTGTGTAGGGAACATAAAAACATTCCTGAAATGATCAGAGATATGGTGCCTCTTAGCTTTGTTCCCGAGACCCCTTGAATTATGGCAAAATGTTCATTGTCTACCGACACAGTGTCTTCCAGGGGGCATTTGAAAAGATGCCTCCCCCATGCCCGCCTCTCTCTCAGGATATTTTTACAACATAATTACAGGCAGCACTGCCAGTCCTGCCATCAGCCAGCTAACAGAATCCTCAAGTTTGCTCTCTTCTCCCCTAAAATTCAGAAGCTGAATAAAGCACAGTATAGTACTGTTTCCTGCACGAAACTATTTTATTACACTAATTAAATATAAGCGCCCAGGAAAATGTCTGCCTTGGAAAATCTAAAAATTAAAAAAAATTAAATAAAACCCACCTAGAACTAGGAAACAGAAATTCCAAAAAAATGAGGATAGCTTGGCCAGTCTGAAAAGAAATTTTCAACACCATTTAAAGAAAGACTTTCTGGCTATATTCATGCTTAGTTTAGCTAATACCACCTCGCCATTGCTGATTTTTTAAGCTAAATGAAAAATAATGCTAAAATACATTTAAATGTTATGTCAGTCGGTGTGTGGTGTAGATGCCTTATTTTGAACATACTAGAACAAATTCCTTATTTGGATCATTATGGAAATTATTTTCTCTCTGTCCCTATTAAAGAAATGTTGACAAGTAGATAGAGAACATTGCTTTAAAGGAGCTCCAAATGGTGGCCTGCCTGGGACATCCACCTGTTTATCTGCCCTTGACTACCACAGACGGTCACCTGTGTGACTTGCACGTACAGACCTAAGGTGTTGAGTACCTCAGTTACTCAGCGTTTCTTAGGGCACCTTGCTACTGAGCCTTCTAGCCTAGTGCTTAGCTGGGTCACCAGCTTCTCACCAAACGGCTTTCTGTGCCCAAAACAATCACCAGAAAGTTGAGATTATTTAAATGAGCCAGGAGTTTGGGGCTGAGAGACAGCTGGAGTCCCATGGCCTCCCCCTTCTCTGGGTTCATCCTTCTCCAGGCTGCCAGGCCACTTCCTGTGTCACTTCAGTCTCATTTCATGCGACAAAGCATTTTCTGCTGGGTTAACGGACAGGGGAGGACCCTCTGCAAATCGTAGATGCTCTTTCTCTTCTATTTGAGGTCAAGCTCCCAAGTCCTTAGAAGATTGCTGGTGCTGGGTCACTCCTTTACTCCTTTAGGAAGTATTTATTGAATTCATACTGTAGGCACCTCAACAGCACATATATGGATTGTGGGTTCAACCCCCAGCCCTGGTCTTCTATTAGGGTTGAACATAGAATATTGGGGACTAGCTATCGTTATGGGAAATAGTAACTATGCTCAGTTAACCATGATTGCCTTGTGTTGGTTATATTCTGACCTGGCTAGGAGTTGTATGCCCCAGGACCTGGGACTCAACTTTAGAACCATTCTCATTTAAGAACTGCCTATTATCATGGAAAGATGAACAACCTTGTTGCCCAAATACCCGAGCCTCCTACTTCCCCATGTAATCCTTGACCTACTCTATATAAGCAGCTGGCTTATGGGGCTGCAGAGCAGATGTTTGTGGATGACCTGCTTCTCTCCCATGAGGCCGGCAATATTGGAATAAAGACTCACATAAGATTCAACCCTGTTTCTGCTTAATTGGCTCAAGTAGTGACAGGCAGCCCGGACCCACTGATTGTCCGTTAACATTTTTCTCCCCCTGTTATCTCCCCCAGGAGAATCACCTCTGCCTCTCTCCTAAGCGCCAAAGGCCCTTCTGTGCCTCTGTAACTTGTTTCCTTAGCCCATCTCTTCTATGGCTCACTTTTACTACCTCTGTAACTTTCTAAATAAACTTGCTCTTAAAAACATTCAAACAAGTAAAGAATTTTTGTGAGTTTATTTGAGCCAAACTGTGGACAATTGTGGGGAAGCAGAATCTCAACGGGTTGGGATAATGCTCCAGAGAATGGTGGTTTTTCATCTATTTTTATACATTGCAATCAAAAGGAGGGGATGTTGTCTGGCCAAAGTGGTTCAGTAGCTGAATGTTGAACTATGATCTAGGAGATTATGGTTCGATTCCTTGTCAGGGCACATGCCCCTATTGGGGGCTGGATTCCCAGTGTGAGGCATGCAGGAGGCAGGGAATAGATGATTCTCTCACATCATTAATGTTTCTATCTCTCTCCCTCTTTGAAATCAATTTTTTTAAAAAAATTTTTTTTTAAAGGAGGGGACGCAGGTGATAGATTAGAGAGGCAGGAGAAAGCAAAGTGGGGAAATCTCGGGGATTGGATAAAGAGTAAAATGATAAACACATATCAGTCAACAATTAACATGATAACAATAACAGGCACATTAGGTTGTGCCCCAAGGGGGTTGAAAAAAGGGAAGTTACAAGTTAACCAGACATTTCAAGGATGTGTTATCACAGATACAAAAAGACAGTAAAGGCAAAGGCTGACCTTGTCAGGAAAGATACCAGCCTAGGAGGTGAAGTCCCATTATAACTGCTTCTATTTTTTTATTTTAGTTTTTAAAATATATTTTATTGATTTTTTTACAGAGAGGAAGGGAGAAAACGAGGGACAGAGAGCTAGAAACATCGACCAGCTGCCTCCTGCACACCCCCTACAGGGGATGTGCCCGCAACCAATGTACAAGCCCTTGACCAGAATCGAACCTGGCTCTATCCACTGAACCAAACCGGTTTCGGCCATTATAACTGCTTTTACTGAAAGTTTCATTTCAGACCATCCTTTGTGGTTACTTTAGGTCTCTGAGTTTGCAAGATCTCCATACAGGCCTTCCCTGAGCTTGTCAGGTTAGCATGTGGCCCCTTTTGTCCACATTTGAAACAAATAAAATAATAGAATAGTCAAATTTATAGAATCAAAGAGTGGAAGAGTGGTTGTTATGAGATGGGGGAGGGGGGAAGGACGGGGAGAAATAGAGAGTTCTTAACCAAGAGGCATAAGTTTCAGTTAAGCAAGATGAATAAAGTCTGGAGAACTGTTGTACAACATTGTACTCATATTGCACATTTTAAAATTTGCATCTTTCTGTATTATATCACACTCTTTAAAATGTATTAAAATGTACATATTTTGTTAAGTGTCTCCTACAATAAAATAATTTTTAAAAAATGCTTGAGGTCTGAAGTCTGAGTAGAGGAAAGAAATAATAAGAACAGAAATACAGAAGCTGAGTAAAGGAGCTGTTTTTGTGGTGATGTAGTGAGAGGGAGGACTTCCCAGTGGATGTACCTTTATGGCAGTTGACCATAATTGATTGGCAATAAAGATATAAATCAAGACTCCGAGAGATATTTGAGGCCAACTTCAACTTACTAAATAAAGAGTTTACAGGACAATCAGCTCGGGGACATAAAATTGAGCCTAAGGAAAACATAGGGGGTGATGGGTTGAAAAGAAACCATGAAGGAAAAAAAGATGATTAGAAAAATAGAGACAGCCAAAACTGGTTTGGCTCAGTGGATAGAGCCTCGGCCTGTGGACTGAAGGGTCCCAAGTTCGATTCCAATCAAGGGCATATACCTTGGTTGTGGGCACATCCCAAGTAGAGGGTGTGCAAGAGGCGGATGATAGATGATTCTCTCATTGATGTTTCTAACTATCCCTCTCTTCCTCTCTGTAAAAAATCAATAAAATATATTAAAAAAAAAAGAAGAAGAAGAAGAAAAGAAAAATAGAGACAAATGAGAAAGAACTGTCTCAGGAAGCCATGTGAAAAACAGATTTAAAAGAGTGGGCACCCAGCCAGTGTGGCTCAGTGGTTGAGCATTGACCAGGAACCAGGAGGTTATGGCTTGATTCAGGTCAAAGTACACGCCCAGGTTTCAGGCTTTATCCCCAGGAGGTGTGCAATAGGCAGCTGGTTGATCATTCTCTCTCATCATTGATGTTTCTGTCTCTCTCCCTCTTCCTTTCACTCAACTATATGTTTCAATAAAAACATACTTTTAAAAAAACATATTCAAATAAAAACATATTAAAAAAAAGAAATTGGGCCGGGACCGGTTTGGCTCAGTGGTAGAGCGTCGGCCTGCGGACTGAAAGGTCCCGGGTTCGATTCAGGTCAAGGGCATGTACCGTGGTTGCGGGCATATCCCCAGTAGAGGGTGTTCAAGAGGCAGCTAATCGATGATTCTCTCTCATCAATGTTTCTAACTCTCTATCCCTCTCTCCTCCTCTCTGTGAAAAATCAATAAAATATATTTTTAAAAAAAGAAAGAAAGAAAGAAAGAAAGAAAGAAAGAAAGAAAGAAAGAAAGAAATTGGGCCTTAACCAGTTTGGCTCAGTAGATAGAGTGTCAGCCTGCAGACTCAAGGGTCCCAGGTTCAATTCCAGTCAAGGGCATGTGCCTTGGTTGCAGGCACATCCTTAGTAGGAGGTGTGCAGGAGGCAGCTGATCAATGTTTCTCTCTCATCAATGTTTCTAACTCTCTACCCCTCTCCTTTTCTCTCTGTACAAAGTCAATAAAATATATTTTTTAAATAAATAAATAAATTGGTCAACTATGTAAAAGCCAATGACAATTGAGAAAAGACCATTTATGAGGTCTGAGATATCCTGAAATATGAATAGTCCAGTCTGACCTCCCCTACCTAGGTAACAAACATTTTGGGCGAAAGAAGTTGTGAACTATAATACACTGATGTTCCTTCTTCATAGACCAGGTGGCCTCTGTGTCAGGAAACCTGGGCAGGGCTATTTTTCCATGGCCCTGCTGTTTTCTTTTTTTGTTTGTTTGTTTGTTTGTTTGTTTTATTTTGTTGGGGATGTGCCCACAACCAAGGTACATGTCTTGACAGAAGGAATCGAACCCGGGACCCTTCAGTCTGCAGGCTGACGCTCTATTCAGTGAGCCAAACTGGTTTCGGCGGCCCTGCTGTTTTCTCAAATATTCCTGAGAAAAGCATAGAAAAGGGGCTTATTTTGCTTACCATGAAATTCATTATCCCCTTAACTCTTACCAAAAAAGTTACGGGTTGAAAAACAAAAATTGTTTGCAAAACTATAGTTTAATTATTATTTTTAAAAATGTTTTTATTGATTTCAGAAAGGAAGGGAGAGAGAGATAGAAACATCAACGATGAGACAGAATCATTGATCAGATGCCTCCTGCACAACCGACACTGGGGATCAAGCCCACTACCCAGGCATGTGCCCTTGGCCGGAATTGAACCTGGGACCCGCCAGTCGGCAGGCCGATGCTATATCCACTGAGCCAAACCAACTAGGGCCATAGTTTATTAATTATTATTCATGAGCAACAGAGGCAACAAAAGGAGGACTCAAAGTGTACTCCAATTAGCTTCCAGCTCAAAGGATATACGAATAGTGTAGCTAGACTAGGGATTGTGGAAGTGAGAATAATGAACTGCCTCTTTATATATATATAATTGATTTTTTACCGAGAGGAAGGGAGAGGGATAGTGAGTTAGAAACATCAATGAGAGAGAAACACTGATCAGCTGCCTCCTGCATACCACATACTGGGAATGTGCCTTTGACTGGAATCGAACTTGGGATCCTTCAGTCCACTCTATCCACTGAGCCAAACCGGTTAGGGCGAGGTTTCTCTCTGTCTTTACTGTTTTGACTAATTAGATGTTCATAACTTACACTAACAGCATGGGTTTTTGTAAGGGTCAGTCTCTTGATCAAGTGTCCCTGAACTTGACCGGTAGGTTTTGGGGATCCTGAGGGAAATGTAGGAGTTGGCTTTTATCATGTTCACAAGATTCTGGGTTTGTCTACCTAAGTGAAAGAACAGGAAATGGGATTTCCACTTGAGCTTTTATTAGTGGAAAATTTTTTGAACTCTGTGGAATAATTCTTAATCTTTGCTGCATAAAACCTCCGAAGATAAGGAGAAACCTATCTGAGGACTGACTCAGGCAGATGAGATCACGTCGACCAAGTCCCTCTTAAGCATCTTTCCTAGTCCAGAATGATGTTTAAAATAGCATTCCGAAAGTTGAAGGAAGGAGTTCGCCAGCCTTGAAACGGTGTAAGTTAAAAAAAAAAAAAAAAAAAAAAAAAAAAAAAAAAAAAAAAAAAAAAACTGCGTAAACTACACTTCCCAGGAGGCCTCGCTGGCTTGTCTCCGCACTCCACTATTATTTTCAGGGCGAGGTATGCTGGGAAATGTAGTTCTCCAAACACCCAGCACGTGACGCGCGTCAAGTAGACCAGAGGGACAGCGCCTGCAGAGTCCCGGGCGGAGAGGCGTGAGCCGCTCCGGCCTCAGAGTTCGGTTTGTGCAGTGGAGGGAGGGCTCCCATCTTCTGGCCCAATCCGGGAAGTGAGGTGGCCCGGTTCCCTCGCTCCCCGGAGCTCCTCCGGGGAAGTCCCTGCGGGTGCGGCACCGCCTCGCTTGATTCCGTTTCTCGGCAGCGGGGCGGGCAGGGGGAGAGGGTGCGATCAGCCAGCCGGGGGCTCGAAGGACGCGCCCCGCGCCCCGCGCTCCACCCAGGCTGCGGCCGCGCTGGGAGGAAGCGCGCAAAGGTTGAGTGTAGTTTCCCGTTTTGCTTTCTCGGCAGCGCAGCCCCAACAGGCAGGCGGTGGGCGGAATGCCGAGCTTCGGTAGGGAGGGGGTCGGGAGCCACTGAGGTTAAAACCGGCGATCTCCCCCCCACCCCCGGGCTTCCCGCCTCCCCTAAACCGTTCACCGCGCTCGCCATGGGCAGCCGCGACCACCTGTTCAAAGTGCTGGTGGTGGGGGACGCCGCGGTGGGCAAGACGTCCCTGGTGCAGAGGTACTCCCAGGACAGCTTCAGCAAACACTACAAGTCCACCGTGGGAGGTAAGCCGGCCAGGGGAGCGGGGTGGACCTGGGGCCCGGACCCCGGACTCCATCCAGCTGGGGCCTCCAGGAAGGTGGGCAGCTGGGGATCTCGTGTCCTTGGGTCCTTCCTCGGGTCAGGAAGTAGGAGTCTGGCATCCTAGAGGGAGTAACTGCTGGGTGTTTGAGTTGCATGCCTGTTCGGGGTTTCCCCGGTCAGGTTTTCCCAACCTGAGCTGACTGCCTGGAAAGCAATGGGGCGAAGGTGTGGGGAGGGGAGGGAGGGAGAGAAAAGGAGCAATTGCTGCGTCCGTCAGGGAACTCTGAGCTCAGGTCTCTCCCTGCGGGGCAGCCGTCCCAGCGGTCACGGGCAGCAGAGGCAGCGGGGACCCCGTGGAGGGCCTGCGAGGGGCCTGCTGGGCTGCTGTCCTGCCTCCGGGAGGTGCAGGCAGCTATTGAAGGAGCAGAAAGGCACTCACCCGGACCTCGCCGCGTAAAACCTTTAGAGATAATGAAAAACCTATCTGAGCACTGATTCAGGCAGATAGCGGGATGCCTGCGGGGGCGAGGCCGAAAGCCACAATCTCGTTTATCTGGGCAGATGGGTTATGTGTTTGTTGTCCATTGATTGCTTAAAGAAAGGGATTCTCCAAGGATCGGAACTATGCCAGCTCTTTGGCCTATTTTCCCACCCCTTTTTCTCTTAAATTGGGTTAGGGAGGAAGGAAGAGAACACCTTAAGAGTTAAATCAGCCCCAACCGGTTTGGCTCAATGGATAGAGCGTCGGCCTATGGACTGAAGGGTCCCAGGTTCGATTCCGGTCAAGGGCATGTACCTTGGTTGCGGGCACATCCCCTGTAGCTGGTGTGCAGGAAGCAGCTGATCGATGTTTTTAACTAACTCTCTCTCCCTTCCTCTCTGTATAAGAAATCAATCAAATTTATTTTAAAAAAGAGTTAAATCATTTCTTTTTCCATTTCTTTCTAGGTGTGATCTTTGGACTGTTTTCTCAGGAGTAGAAATTTTTGTTAAATAGGAGGTGCTTAGCTGGGCAGAGCTGGTGAAGTGGGAGAGTAACAAACATTTATTTATCTCCATTAAAAAAATATACATTTTTTAATACACACGTTTTTAAAAAATATATATTTTATTGATTTTTTACTGAGAGGAAGAGAGAGGGATAGAGAGTTAGAAACATTGATGAGAGAGAATCATCGATGTGCCCGCCACCATGGAACGTGCCCTTGACCGGAATCAACCTGGGACCCTTAAGTCCGCCGTCTGACGCTCTATCCACTGAGCCAAACCGGTTCCAGCAATATACACGTTTTTGACACACACCTCTCCTCCTCCCGCTCCTCCACTCCTCCCGCTCCGCGCCCTCATCCCTTCCTCCATAGGCCCGATTCCACCCACCCGCGCTCCCCTCCCCCTGCACATCTGGGGGAGGAGGATGCGAAGGGATCCTGGGGAAACACTGTCCCCTCCCCACTCACACCCTCACCCAGCGCCTTTTCGGGAGGCCTGGGAAGTTATTGAAGGGTGTGAATTTTCTTTTTTCTTTAAAAAAAAAAAATATTTCATTGATTTTTTACAGAGAAGAAGGGAGAGAGATAGAGAGATAGAAACGTTGATGAGAGAGAAACATTGACCAGCTGCCTCTTGCACACCCCCTACCGGGGATGTGCCCGCAACCAACGTACATGCGAACCCGGGACCTTTCAGTCCACAGACCGAAGCTCTACCACTGAGCCAAACCGGTTTCAGCAAGAGTGTGAATTTTCTCTCAAGTGGATTAGCGACCTAGATCTTGGGTTGGAAAGGGTTCCCAGAAAAGAGGGAGCAGGAGGAAAAAAAACAACACGGTTTTTAAAGGGAAAAAAAAATGTACACCAATGTAAATTTTGCAAATGTGTGCTGGTATTCATTACGGAGTTTTAAAACGTTAACAAGCATTTACAATCATTTAAATATGTTTTATTGATTTCAGAGAGTGGAGGATAGAACCATAATTGATGAGACAGAATTAGAAATTATCTTGGGCAGGAATGGGATAGAGTGGCAAGGTCCCAGAAGATTACTATTATAGAAAGCACGATTGCAGTGAGAGAATCATTGATGGGCTGCCTCCTGCATGTCCCCTACTGGGGATCAAGCTGGAAACCCAGGCCTGTGCCCCGACCTCCTGGTTAATGGATGGACCCTCAACCACTGAGCCACACCTTCAGGGCTATGCATTGTCTTCTTTCTAGGAGTCCTCTGGCACTTTGTCACTCTATCCCATTCCTGCCCAAGATAATTCCTACAGCCTTATGGAAGATGTAGAATTCCCCAGAGTGCGTTTTTATCATAATACAATTTGATGAGGAGCCGAGAGTGAAATTGAATGTGAAAGTGGCAAAAGCCACCACACTTACTTAATTTCTCCTTTGCCCCCTATCATCCCTTCTCTGAGAAAACTCCCTAAGCCTCCCAGAAACTGTTTAACCTTTAACAAAGGTTTTATGCTGCGAGGTCAGGGTGATCACTTGTTTTCATAATTATCCCCACCCTCCTAATTCCAGCCTTGGAGATAAATAGTATCAAATAAGTTAGTTTGACAAGAGGGTAAAAGCTAAAGACTCCCTTCTGTAATACCTGAGTGTGGGCTCATCTCAGCTTACCGAGGACTGCCGAAACTGCTTTGGCTCAGTGGATAGCGCGTCGGCCTGCGGACCGAAAGGTCCTGGGTTCGATTCCAGTCAAGGGCATGTACCTTGGTTTTGGGCACATCCCCAGTAGGGGGAGTGCAAGAGGCAACTGATCAATGATTCTCTCTCATTGATGTTTCTAACTCTCTATCCCTCTCTCTTCCTCTCTGTAAAAATTCAATAAAATATATATATTTCAGCTTACCGAGGGCTTAAAAATTGAATGAATGAATGGAGTTGTGTGTCCCTAGTGTTGAAACTGCAGATTTGACCTGAGGTTTTCTGTGGATTGTTTAAAGGTAAAATTTAATCAGCTACATTATACATATATTTTCAGTGGATTTCGCCCTGAAGGTTCTCCAGTGGTCTGACTCCGAGATGGTGAGGCTGCAGCTGTGGGATATTGCAGGTAGGCTCGGAAGACTGAGTAGAAACATAGGGAGAGAGTTTGGGTAACCAGCCAGCTGCCAGAGAAAAAGTGGGGCAGGAAAACCAGGAGTGTGCTCCCGAAGCTGGGATGATGGAGCTGCGCTGAGGATGTGGGAGCTGAACAGACACAGAACTGTTGTAGATGTTTCTTCAGATGTGTTGCCCTGTAAATGCAAGGCAGTCTGTGTGGAGGGGCTGGCAAGATGGTGGATTGTCCAGGCCACAGGTGGGTGCCCCCACTGCAGGGAGAGGGTGCTTTTTCCAGCTGATCTTGATAAGAAACAAGATACTCGGGAAATAGAGACAAGCACTTTTATGTGTCAAGCACTTTTAAAAAAAAATATATTATTGATTTTTTTACAGAGAGGAAGGGAGAGAGATAGAGAGCCAGAAACATCGATGAGAGAGAAACATCGACTAGCCGCCTCCTGCTCACCCCCTACCAGGGATGTGCCTGTAACCAAGGTACATGTCCTTGACTGGAATCGAACCTGGGACCTTTGAGTCCGCAGACCAATGCTCTGCCATTGAGCCAAACCGGTTTTGGCTCAAACACTTTTCAAAACATTTTTTTTTTTATATATTCACTGACTCATTAATCCTGACCATGAACCTATGATAAAGCTACTGCTCTGCTTTCTGTGTCCACTTTCCTGATGGGAAATAATTAGCCTTGAAAGCTTGACTTGTCCAAAGTCACACAGATAGTGAATGACAGAGCAGGGATTTGGACTTGGATGACCTGGGTAAAGAATCTGGACTCAACCGCTGAGCATACTGCCTTCTCTCCCACAACGAAGGTAGAAGGGACAGGATGTAAGAGGGAGTTCTGGGGCTGGTTCTCAGGATCACCCTCTGGGACCTCTCCTCTCCTTCCAGGCCAGGAGCGCTTCACATCTATGACGCGCCTGTACTATCGAGATGCCTCTGCCTGTGTTATTATGTTTGATGTTACCAATGCCACTACCTTCAGCAACAGCCAGAGATGGAAACAGGACCTGGACAGCAAGCTCACTCTGCCCAATGGAGAGCCTGTGCCCTGCCTGCTCTTGGCCAATAAGGTACATGGTCAATCTAGGAAAATGGTTCCTGGCCTCAATCAGCAGTGAGAGGGCAAGCTATCTAAAATGCTCTTCCAGTCCTAGCTGGTTTTGCTCAGTGAATAGAGCATCGGCCTGAAGACCGAAGGGTCCAGGGTTCGATTCTGGTCAAGGGCACATGTCAGGGTTGTGAGCCTGGTCCCCAATGGGGGCGTGCAGGAGGCAGCCAATCAATGACTCTCATCATTGATGTTTCTGTCTCTTCCCTCTTCCTTAAACTCTGAAATCAATAAAAGTATTTAAAAAGAATAGAGTAAGTTGGTCCGAAGGTTGTGGGTTATTGTTAAGCTGATTAAAAAGAATAGAGTAGCCCAAACAGGTTTGGCTCAGTGAATAGAGCCTCGGCCTGTGGACTGAAAGGTCCCAGGTTCGATTCCGGTCAAGGGCATGTACCTTGGTTGCAGGCACATCCTTAGTAGGGGGTGTGCAAGAGGCAGCTGATAGATGTTTCTAGCTCTCTATTCCTCTCTCTTCCTCTCCGTATCTCTGTAAAAAATCAATAAAATAAATATTTTTTAAAAAGAATAAAGTAAAATGCTCTTTTATTCTTGTGATCCACTTTCTCTTCTCAACATGGCAAAATCATCTCTCCCTCCTTTCAAGGGATATTGAGGCTTTCTTGGGGAGGAATTTTGAATGTAGATTTTATTTTATTTTTTTGAATATAGATTTTAGAGGCTGCTGTGTTCTTCGCCATTAGAGGAAAGGTTTTTAATCCACAGGTATCTGAACTGTGTTCCTAATCCCAGGAAGTTGATGGTGTTGCCTTTTATTCATTCTCTTTGCCAGTGTGACCTGTCCCCTTGGGCAGTGAGCCGAGACCAGGTTGACCGTTTCAGTAAGGAGAACGGTTTCACGGGTTGGACAGAAACATCAGTCAAGGAGAACAAAAATGTTAATGAGGCCATGAGGTGAGTAACTTATGGGCACACAGATCTTCCACTGTAGCTCGTTGTACCTTTTTTAAAAAAAAAAAAAAATCAGGACCATATTCTTGATTTATACTTTCAGAACCTTGAACAGTGCCTGACAAATAGCACATCTTAATAAATGTTTCTTGAACTGAATTCTATTTCTTGACAGCAAAGGTAATTCTGGGTTCATCTCCTGAAATACCAAACTGTAGATCTTACTCCATCTTTTGACCACTGAACCTCACAGTGGGATTCTGCCAGGTATTTAGAAACGAGGTTTTGTGTTCCAGAAACCTCGAGTACAAATCAACTAGACACTGAAATAACACAGATCAGGATTCAGCTTGCTTCTGTGCTCCAAACAAAATATAAGCTTTTCCTTTTCAGACAAAAAAAAAAACACATTAAATTGATTCTGTAATGGTATCAATAACGAATAGCAAGTGGATGGCCAACAAGAAACGTGTAGCTCTTGTTTATTTAATCTACCCACTTTGCACAGATTTCTGATAAAATTAAATAGATATAATAGATGTACCCATCTTCCACTGCAGCCCATTGTACCTTTTTTCTTGTTTCTGAGCAAATCAGAACAGACTGGGCCCCTTGAATGCCAGCTTCTGAAGGTCAGAGATGCTATCCTCTCTCCTGAGATAACGGGACAAACCTGGCGGCTTTACTGAACGCCATCTGGCGTTAAGACAATGTCTGCTGTTTCTCCTTTTTCTCAATTCAACTTTTCAGGCTTATTTTTTATTTGTTTTTTAGAGTCCTCATTGAAAAGATGATGAGCAATTCCAAAGAAGACATGTCTTTGTCCACCCAAGGGGACTACATCAACCTACAAGCCAAGCCTTCCTATAGTTGGGGATGCTGCTAGTCGTGTTTCTCCTGCTTTCCCTCCAGATTCCAGTTCCTTCCCTTCGGCTGCCCACCCAGCAGCTGTATTAAGTGCATTTGAACTGTCTCCTGCTGACTGTCCAGTAAGGAGGGCCGTCATCACTAAGAAAAGACACCTGGGACCCGTGTGCTTTTCTGCATCTCCTGAAACTTGGTTCTCACTTGCTGCTGACGCATGTGGTCCAGTCAATGCCTTCCTGCTCATCCCCTTTTTATCGGACTTATTGGGGTGACACTGGTTGACAAAATAGGTATCATGTGCTCAGTTCTACAATACATCATCTGTACAGCTAGTGCCTTTTGTATAAGAAGGGTCATCTCATCACTCCATTTGTGATCTGGGATTTTGTGGGTAGGACTAGAAATCAGTGTTTGTGTTTTAAGGATCACAGTTCTCAGCTGCTTTTGAATTTATTTTTCCATCTGATACATATTGAGATATCAATCTGATATGACTTCAGATTGAGAAGAAAATGAAATCAAAGGTCATTTCCCTTATAGGTCATGATACTTTCTGTCGTGGACTTTCAATTTAAAGATCTGATTCTGAACTGCAGTGAGAGTGGGGCTTGATATCTTTGGGTTTGAGGCTACTGGAGTACCTAAAAGTCACTGTTATTTTTGAAGCTTCTAAAGTCATAATTAGCTTTCTCTTGTCTTAGCTTCAAGAATAATCAAGCTTGCCCTGACCAGTGTGGCTCAGTTGGTTAGAGCATCATCTTCTGTATGGAAAGGTCGCAGGTTCCATTCCAGGTCAGGGCACATGTCTAGGTTGTGAGTTCAGGGAAGAAACAGGAGGCAACCAATTAATGTGATGTGTCTCTCTCATATAGATGTCTCTCTCTCTCTCTCCTTCCCTCCCTCCCTCCCTTTAAAAAAAAAAAAAAAAAAAAAAAAAAAAAAAAAAAAAAGGTCAAGCTTTCAAATTATCTATCTTGTGTGATGCCAGCATTTCTTTCTGAAAAGAAATTAGGGTGGTCTAATTGTCTCTAATTGTCTCTCTACCACTAGGGTGAGGGAGGGGTTTGCCGTTTCTGCAGGTTTCTGGGTTGATGTTTTGATGCATAATGCTTCATGTGGTGCCCAGTTGTCTGATCCTCAAAGCTCTGGGAATCTGATTGGAAGAAAAGGGAGAGGTTAATAGAACAAAACCCTGTGAGCAACTTGCTTATGAGCAATCTGAGTGGCTAGCACTTAGCAGCCACAGGAAACAAGTATTATGAACTTGCCTGGGGGTGGGAGTAGACAGGCAGGAAATCATTAGCTAATTTAAGTGCTAAATCAGGGAGAGTTTTTGGTATCAAATCCCTTTTAAACAGTATAATTTGTTAAATTCTCACAGGATAGTGATTTATAACTACCCAGAATTATGAATATTCTAAGTGGGCCCAGAGGCCTACAGTTCTTTGAGCCCCTTGTCTAAATGTATCCTAAGTCAGTGGTTCCCAAGTCTGACTGGTCAGATCTAACTTATATTAATATGTGGAATCAAATGAACAAAATAAACTGGCCAACAAAATAGATCCAGAGATATGGAACAGACTGACAGACCTCAGTCTGTTTGTTTTTAATACCAATTATAACTTTTGCACAATGTTTGGAGATCTTGAAGATCTCTTTTGTATTACCCTTTTCAGGTAGGGTTTTTATTACAATGATTCTGAAGGTAATAGTGGGTTAACATTCTTTTTATTTGAGAAGAACATTGATTTGTATGCACTGGTTTCAATCCCAGCAATAAGTGGGAAATAAATCTTGTATTCATAATAGTTATTGGCCTTTAATGTGAGTTTGTTAAAATGTTAGTCTATCCCACCCTAGCCTGTTTGGCTCAATGGATTCTGCCGGGGTTTGATTCTGGTCAAGGGCATGTACATGTGCAGGAAGCAACCAATCGATGTATCTCTCTCACATCGATGTATCTCTCTGTCTCTCCCACTCCCTTCTACTCTCTCTAAAAATCAATGGAAAAACACCCTCCAGTAAGGATTAACAAAACAAAAAGTTAGCCTATGCTGATTAGTCAAGAGTATTGTGGACATAGAGACTTTATTTTTTAAATGCCTTCTATAAAAACGAAGGTAAATGTTTTTGTTTACCTGTTAATTTATTGGTACTAGTCGCCTAATACCAATTCAGTTCTTGATGTAACATCCCAAATACTGCTCAGAGATGTAGTATTTTAAAAAATAGAAGATCCTTTCTTTTCTCATTTGCTGACTCAAGATCTACCTGCCTTTTCAAGCATTGCTAAAAGCTGGCCTGCCAGCCCTTATGGATTTTTCTCTCCTAATTGCTGAAAATTATAGGCCTAAAATTAATTAAAGAAGAAATTGAAATATAACTAATTTCTCTCCATGTCCCTACCCATGAAGAAAAGGGAAAACAATTAAGGAAGAAGAAAATATTTACGTGACTTGAAGTATGATTATGCTAAAAATAATTAGATCTTATCATTTGGATGCCACCTCTCAGGTAAAATTGGTTGGAACGTGGACACTGTTGTAGCCCTTCCCTAGAGAAGTTTCCTTGTTTGAGACGAGATGTCCCTCTACCCACAGTTGCTCTATGGCCCAAAAGAAAACAAGCATTCCCTGCAGTATGTTCTAGGCCGGTGGTCGGCAAACTCATTAGCCCACAGAGCCAAATATCAATGGTACAATGATTGAGATTTCTTTTGAGAGAGAAATTTTTTTAAACTTAAACTCCTTCTCGCTGAGACCGGTTTGGCTCAATGGATAGAGTGTCGGCTTGGGGACTGAAGGGACCCGGGTTCGATTCCGGTCAAGGGCATGTACCTTGGTTGCGGGCATATCCCCAGTAGGGGGTGTGCAAGAGGCAGCTGATCGATGACTCTCTCTCATCGATGTTTCTAGCTTTCCATCTCTCTCCCTTCCTCTCTGTACAAAATCAATAAAATATATTAAAAAAAAAAAACAAAACAAAAAAACTTAAACTCCTTCTAACGCCACTTCTTCAAAATAGACTCGCCCAGGCCGTGGTTTTTTGTGGAAGAGCCACACTCAAGGGGCCAACGAGCCACATATGGCTCGCAAGCCGCAGTTTGCTGACCACGGTTCTAAGAGACCCAAGGAAGGACTGAAAATTGCGCTGTGGGATTGTGACTGCCATGGCTTTCAACTCTGGGCAAGAGAGCTAAGTGACCAACTTAAGCAGAGAATAAGAGACCACAGGTCAAGCAAGGCCTCTCAGCAGGAAGTGCGGTTTGTTCTTTTGTTACTAATAGTGAGCCAAAATTACTCCCAGAGGTTTCCCCAATTCCCTTTCCTTAGCTATTGCCAAAGTATGTTGGGGTTCCTCATTATTTCCAAATTTAACTCTTCTTTTTTTTTTAAACATTTTATTGATTTTTTACAGAGAGGAAGGGAGAGAGGGAGGGAGAGTCAGAAACATCAATAAGAGAGAAACATCCGCTGAAACCGGTTTGGCTCAGTGGATAGAGCATCGGTCTGTGGACTGAAGGGTCCCGGGTTCAATTCCGGTCAGGGGCATGTGCATTGGTTGCAGGCACATCTCCAGTAGGGGGTGTGCAAGAGGTGGCTGATTGATGATTCTCTCTCATCGATGTTTCTAACTCTCTATCCCTCTCCCTTCCTCTCTGTAAAAAATCAATAAAATAAAAAAAAGAGAGAGAAACATCCATCAGCTGCCTCCTGCACACCCCCTACTGGGGATGTGCCCGAAACCAAGGTACATGTCCTCGACCAGAATCAAACCTGGGACCCTTGAGTCCAAAGGCCGACACTCTATCCAGTTAGGGCTAACTCTTCTTTATGTGGTCTGTCTTCTGTCCTCAAGACAGTGCCCCATCTTCCAGGAGGCTTTCCTGCCCTTTGTTGTCCTTCTGTAGGCAGTGGCTTGCTTTTGACGTAATCTAAGTCCATGGTTAAAAGATGTAAAATCTCAAAGGTATTCGATAAACTCCATTGACCAGATTGTCCAAAGATGTTTCCCTTCTACCCGTTTTAGTTCACTGTGTGTAGGAAGTGTCCTCAGCTGTATAAGTGACTCATTTATTACAGCCAAACAATCCCCAAAGCTGCAAGTTGGATTAGGTAGGAAACCACTAGGAAGAGATGTGTTCTAAAGAACTACACATGTATTTTTATTTTTTAAAAATATATTTTATTGATTTTTTACAGAGAGGAAGAGAGAGGGGTAGAGAGTTAGAAACATTGATGAGAGAGAATCATGGATCAGCTGCCTTTTGCACACCCCCTATTGGGGATGTGCCCGCAACCAACGTACATGCTCTTGACCGGAATTGAACGTGGGACCTTTCAGTCCGCAGGCCAACGCTCTATCCACTGAGCCAAACCGGTTTCGGCCCAAATGGCCAGATTATTATGCATTTAATCCGCAGGCTGATGCTCTATCCACTGAGCCAAACCGGTTTCGGCTATACATGTATTTTTAATTCCACCATAAATACCAAAGACTTAAAAATATATCCACCTTATGATTTTCATGGTTATTAGAAAAATCCTACCTTCTCTTTGGCTTTCAAGCATAATTTGAATTCTGTCAAATTTTATCTACGGAGTTTCAGTATAATAATAGTATTGCTCTATATCAGAGAAAGAGACTAATAGGAGAATATACACTGAGTGGCCAGATTATCATGATCTCTGAAGGCATAATAACCTGGCCACTCAGTGTACTTAAGTATAAGGGAAAGCTTGCCAATCTTGATATATGTCAAGGGACAGGAGATAGTGGCATGTAAGTCCTCTGCTTCTTTCTAACTACCCACAATGCAGTTCTCAAACATGGAAAACCTTATTTTAAAATTGCAACTCTGTGGTCAGTCTACACTGAGTAGCCAGATTATTATTACTTTTTAATGTATTTTTTAAAATATATTTTTATTGATTTTTCACAGAGATGAAGAGAGAGATAGAGAGCCAGAAACATTGATGAGAGAGATACATCGACCAGCTGCCTCCTGCACACCCCTCACTGGGGCTGAGCCCACAACCAATGTACATGCTCTTTTTTTTTTTTTTTTAATATATTTTATTGATTTTTTACAGAGAGGAAGGAAGAGGAATAGAGAGTTAGAAACATTGATGAGAGAGAATCATCGATCAGCTGCCACTTGCACACCCCCTACTGGGGATGTGCCTGCAACCAATGTACATGGTCTTGACCGGAATCAAACCTGGGACCTTTCAGTCCGCAGGCCGACGCTCTATCCACTGAGCCAAACAGGTTTCGGCCCAAATGGCCAGATTATTATACATTTAAAGATCATAGTAATCTGGCCACTCAGTGTATATTTGAAGTAATTTACTTCCAATGGCTTATGCAATTATGGAGGCTAACAGATCCAAAAATCTGCAAGTCCTGTCATCCCAGTTCACTGATACTTCAGTGAGAACGCCATCAGGCAGAATTCTTGCTTACTCAGCAGAAAGTCAACCTTTGCTTCTATTTTAGGCCTTCAACTGATTGGATGAGACCCACCCATACTGGGGAGAGCAATCTGCTTTACTCAGACTACTGATTTAAGTGTTAATTTCATCCAAAAACACTGTCACGGAAACACCCAGAATGATATTTGATCAAATATCTGGGTACCCCAGGGTCTAGTTAAGTTGATACATAAAATTAACCACCACATGCACTAACATCGGAATGTTGCCATAAATCAAGTAGTAGTCTGAGCACTTCACATAGATATTTTTACAAAGACCCAGTGATATATATATAAGGAAACTGAGGTGCAAAAAAACCAAGACTGCTCAAGGTTACATAGCTAGCAAGTGGCAAAACTGATTTTTAAGCTTAAGTAGTGTGACTTCAGAAACTGGGCCCTTTACACTGCCTCCACTTTTATATGTGTGTGTTTTGGTGGTGGCATCCTTGAAGTTTTTCCATACAGTGATTTTTCAGTATAGTGGAAACAGAAGAATAATTTATTAAATGGACATCCAGGTATGCTAATACCTTTATAATGAAAACTTAAATCTACTTATTTTTTTAATAATATATTTTTATTGATTTTTTCACAGAGAGGGATAGAGAGTTAGAAACATCAATGAGATAGAAACATCAATCAGCTGCCTCCTGCACACCTCCCACTGGGGATGTGCCCGCAACCAAGGTACATACCCTTGACCAGAATCGAACCTGGGACCCCTCAGTCTGCATGCCGACGCTCTATCCACTGAGCCAAACCGGTTTCGGCTAAATCTACTTATTAAGGGGAATTGAGGGGGGAAAAAACCCAAACCACCCTTAATTTACATTTTGATAAGTTTGTTTCTCATCAATTTGTTAAAGATTTTTTTCCCCCCACATAATTGTATAATCACTTTCGATTACATACATTTTATGTGCCTAGTATCAGAGGAGTTAGGGGGATATAAAGATCTGTGCCATAGATATTCAAAGAAGAAAGAGATTAAGAAAAACTTAAAGGAAATTAGGACTTGGATACAAATCAAGAAAAAGGTGGGGAGAAAGGGAGTTTAGAATTCTTACACAAGTTTGAGAAGTGGCCAGTAGACCAGAAGGTAGGCTAGTGGGTGCCAGGGGCTGGGAAAAGAGGGAATGGGGAATTAGTGTTTCCACTGGGTTTTATGAAAAAGTCCTGGAGATGGTTGGTGGTGATGGTTGCATCACAATGTGAATGCACTTACTAGTGATGCCACTGAACTATGCGTTTAAAATGGTGAATTTTGTGTTATGAACCTTTATACAACAACAACAACAACAACAAAAGGAACATTCAAGGGAATAAGTGGAGTGGCGTGGAAAAGGCAGAAGATAACTTTAATGCTTCACTAGGTCTCTGTGAACTAGGACTATACCAGAGTTCACGAAGGACACTTTAGGGGGCAGGCATGGTGGGTTTGTTTGATATGGCATATATCTCCAGTTGCTTACCAACAGGCTGCCTGTGTCAGGGATTCAAGTCTACAATGATGGGGTAAACCTTGCTGTTCCCATAGGGATCCTGAGCTCTGCCTCTGAGAGTTAAGGCATTCAACAAATGTTCATGGATTTTAATGGGTAATCGGATTTTAATGGTAACCCTAAGTTATCAGTACCACCTATCTCTACCTAGGGATCAGGTCACCTTTTAAAAACTGAACTTAACAAGTTTAAGCACTTATATAGTGTTTATTAATGTTCCAAAGACTCTCCTAAACTTTTTCCATATATCAAGTTATTGAATCCGAATAACCCTATATTATTGTTTCCCATTTCACACACAAGAAAACTGAGGCACAGAGTCATATAGCTAATTAAGCTGTGGACCTTTAAACCAAAACACCTTTGGCCCCAGAGTTCATACTCCTCCTATTCATGAGGCCCCCAAAGTAATAATGTCCAAGATTGGGGCTTTAGTGACCCTGAAGTGTATCTCAAGTTCCAGAATGGAAATTGGGGGTCAAGCTTTTCCTTCATTATGACCCTGCCTTTCTGCTCCAGCAGCGGGATTGGAACCCTGAGGGCTAAATGCTAAAACCAGGGGAAGTGGTTTATGGGTTTAAAATAAAAAAAATTTTGAACATATGGAATTTCCCTCCAATTCTGAAACAGCGCTCTAGTGACGAATCAGCAGCCTGCCCCATAGGTTTTGCTGATCGTGTGGTTTCAGTTGATCAAGCAGGCGAAATAAAAGATAGTTAAACTAATACTAAATGGCATTATCTCCTGCATAAATCTTTTTTTCTCTTCCTTCCGAGGTGCGACCCAAGACGAATCTGCAAGTCCGGAGTGGAAACCAGGGGGCGGGCTGCGCCGCAACCATTTTTGTTTTGCAGCCGTGCGCGCTCAGAGCATCTTGACTAACAGGACCCAGTGGGGGAGGCGGGGCCTATGAGAACGCGGGGCGGGGCCTAGAGGGGGGACGTGATGATTCAAATGGACCAATGAGCTCGGCGCAGCTGGCAAAAGCCACCAATGGCCGGGCGTTTGGGGGCGGCGCCCACGAGCCCTAGCGTGTTCGGTTGCACGGCGGCTTTGGCGCATTTTCGGGTGGTTTGATTCATCCATTTTGAGGAGACGGGGGAACGGGGGCTTCGTCTGGTTACGGGCCTCTGAGCGGAGGAGCGGCGTTGTTGGAGAAGCCGGCAGCAGCTCGGGGCTCGGCGGTACCGGCCCCCTCGGCCAAAGTTGGGGGGGGTGGGGCGCCGAGCGCGCGGGGTTGGGGGGGGGTCCTGGTCTTTGGCTTCTCAACTCGGCCCTGATTCGGCGGCGAACATGTCTCGGCCTGTCAGGTCAGTGCGGAGTCCGAGGCCTGGGGCGGGTTGGCGAGGTGTGTGTGGGGGGGTGGTGGTGAGCAGCGACGGAGGTGGGGGGGGGATTACAGACCCGGGGTCTGCCCTCTCCCCTGCCACCCGCGGCCTCCTCCCCCCTTTGGGGCCCGCGCGCGCCCGCCCTTGAGCGCGGGGGGCCCCGCTGGCGCGCGGCGCCGCGTGGGGGGTGGCGGCCGTGCGCCCATGCGCCCATGCGCGCTCCTCCCCTCCTCCCCGCGCCGCTGCAGGGCTCCGGGCGGCTCGGCTGCCTCCCCCACCCGCCGCCCTGGAGCGCGCGGGCGGGGTGTTCCCTGAACCGCCCGCGGCCGGAGGGGGAGGGGTGTGAAGTCAGTGCCCCCACCCAGGCCCCACCTCCTCGGGGGGCCGGCCCCTGGGAGCCCGCCTCCCCGGGGAGACTGCTGCGGACCCGGGCTTGGGGGGACCCCCCCCTCCACCCTCAACCTTAAGCGCGGAGGAGCGCTGACACCCCCGTCTTGCCCCTTGCCCGCCTCCGCTCGCGTTGGGGGCTGGGGAGCACCGCACTTTTTTCCAGCGGCCCCGAGCGTTCCACCCCGGGGAGGAGCACCGGAGAGGAGGCCGCGCTGCCCCGGGCCCCGCCCCCGGGATCGGGCGTGGGCGGGGCCCGTCCCGTCCCGTCCCCCTCCGGCCCGGGTGAGCTCCGAGCCGGTCGCTGGGCCATGACTGCTGCCTCTTTCCCCCCCTCCCACCCCAACTCGGGAGTTGTGAGCGGGTGGAAGCCCCCGAGGCCGCCCTTCCCCTCGGGCTGGCCGTGTCCTTCCGCGGGGAAATGCCCTTCCTCGGGGAGGTGCGGGCGAACCGCAAGACCCAGATCCCGGGCGGGTCTGGTTCCCGCTATCGCGCTCCGCTCTCCCCGGCGCTCACGTCGCGAGGTCTTTGTAACCCTGTCTTTACCCGATAACTTTCACAATAAAGGGCTTCCATTCAGTGCACCGTGAGACTTTACCCTGAGAATCTCAACAAGTTTGCCGTCCCCCCCCCCACCCCCGCGGACGGTGGAATCGCCCGGTGCCGGCCTCCTGGCTATGGTATGGAATGTGCCATTTGCGGAGGGGTGTGGCTCCGTTCGGTCTAAAAGGGGAGCTGTTGCAAATACTACTTCTCATGTCATGTTCGCGACGCTTGCGATGTAAGGAATTGGCTACTTTGCATAGTGTTTGCTGCATCAGTTCGTAAAGGTAATGGTTGTTAAATGTTTTTAAGAGTTGCTTCCCCCTCTTCCAAGTTTTGTGGGGAACGGAAGTACTTGGACCTGGAGCTGTAAAGGGGTTTGGAGCGCCCCCGGAAAGGGTTTTGTTCTCCGCTGTTCGGTCTCCTGACTAGACCGTCTGTGTCCAGCTGGTGGTGGTCTAGCGCTGTGTCCCTGCGCCCGTGATGGGCAGGAGGCGAGTTCTAACCACCTGGCTTGCCTTCCTACCTTCTCATTTCAACCCACGTCTCTGGTCTCTGATAACTCACCACCACCACAGGGAAGAGCTTAGCCAACTTTTTGCAAGGCGTCTGAATAGGTATTCCAGGTTACAGCATGCATACTTTTTTGGCATAAAACTTACCTGTGTATCCTATCCACTTAGGTAGAATATTTTCTTTAGGATCAGGTCAAATAGATTTATCAAATATTTGTTTCATCTTGATTGGGCCTTCTGTATTCCTCAAAGTAAATTACTGTCTGGTAAAATTGTACCGTTATTTTGTTTGTTTTTTAATATATTTTATTAAATATATTAAATAAGAGGAATAGAGAGTTAGAAGCATCGATGAGAGAAAATCATCGATCAGCTGCCTCTTGCACACCCCCTACTGGGGATGTGCCCGCAACCAAGGTACATGCCCTTGACAGGAATGGAACCTGGGACCTTTCAGTCCATAGGCCAACGCTCTATCCACTGAGCCAAACCGGTTTCGGCTGAAAACTGGATATTTAATCTCACCAGGTGGAGACAAATATATTAAGCATGCTCTATAAGTTTTGGGGGGGGGCATTGGGATTTCTGCACAACTTTTTTTCTTGCTCAGTATGTTAAAAGTAATTTTAACTTTCTATTTGCTTCTAAATGACAAATGAGGTTAATATGTTGTGGGCTTTTTGGGGATCACTTTCAAATGATTTCAAAGCAACTTGATTTTTTATTACATATTTTAGTGATAAAGTCTATTTGTAACTATTTTTTGAAGTCTTTAATATACTTATACCGATAATAAAGCAGAAGTAATTAAACTTGAGTTTGGTTGTTTGTTAAATATGCAATTTAAAAAGTCCTCTTAGGGAAGTGCTTTTGCTTCAAGGTGTAATTGAAGATCTATGTACCTGAGGGCATTTAATAAAAAAATTAATAGTTGACATTGATTCAGAATAATCAGCCTTGTTTTAAAAAAAATCATTTTGGAAAATGATAGTATCAGCGCATCTTCTTTTGGATTAAGTTTCTTCTCTTAGGTCTATATGTAATTTTGAGGTTTTTCTGGTTTTCAGAATACTGTAAATATTCATTTTCATTTTAATAATTAAGCATTTAAAGATTTATTAATAGCTGCTTTCACTAGTTTTCAAATAGGAATAAGCTACTGCAGGGTTTTTTACAGATGTGTGTAACATACCATATTATTCTTACCTTTTATAGTATCTGACTCATTTTATATATAAATGTATATATATATGTATACACACATATACATATATATACACACACACATATACGTATATGAGAGTGCAAGTGTTTTAGGCCTTGGATTCAAATTTACAGCATAAAATCAGTCTTGGAGTTAGCAAAAATTTAGGCAGGTTTATTTTTCAAGGGACTTAATGGGAACCTGAACAAATGAAGTGCCTGTATCACACACTAGTGGGTGCCAGATTGGGTCTAGAACCTAGATTTCTCATTCAGTGTTACTTATCCTTCCCCTCCCCCTTTCTGAACAGTAATCACTACTTACATTTTCCTCTAAGATGTGAACTCTTCTGTAGACTTTACCTTCAAAAATATCTCACATAATCGATAAAGCCTGAATAATAGGGGGAATTAATTTTATAACAACACTTATGTGTTCAACATTTTAGAGTAGTTTACTAAAAATAGTCACTTTGCTAGAGGCTTTCACTTTAACTTGTTTTATCCTTATTACAACCCTTTAAGGTGGGATTTTTTTAAAAAATATATTTTATTGATTTTTCACAGAGAGGAAGAGAGAGATAGTTAGAAACATCGATGAGAGAGAATCATCGATCAGCTGCCTCTTGCACACCCCCTACTGGGGATGTGCCCGCAACCAAGGTACATGCCCCTGCCCGGAATCGAACCCGGGACCTTTCAGTCCGCAGGCCGACGCTCTATCCACTGAGCCAAACTGGTCCTGGCGGATTTTTTTTTTTTTTTTAAATTCCTGCATAACAGATGACATAAGCTTAGCGAACGTTATTAGTAATCTCTTCGGTGGCAAGTATTTTCTGTCTGCATAGGTTTTTTTTTTAAATTTTATTTATAGAAAATGTTTTATGGAAAATGTGCCCGTGTTTTTTTGTTTTTCATTTTTAGAGAGAGAAAGGGAGAAACAATGTAAGAGTGAAATGGACTACCTCTTGCATACCCCCTACCAGGGATCAAGCATGCAACCAGGCATATGCCCTAACTGGAATTGAACTCATGACCTTTTGATGCAGGGAATAACCTACTGAGCCACACTGACCAAGGCCCAAATATTTAAAATAGGGATTTGTTCCAACTAATTTAAAATAATTTTTAGAGATACTCTTTTTAAGTATATTTTATTGATTTTTTACATAGAGGAAGGGAGAGGGATAGAGAGCCAGAAACATGGATGAGAGAGAAACATAGATCAGTTGCCTCCTGCACATCCCCACAACCAACATATATGCATGCCCCTGACCAGAATCGAACCTGGGACCCTTCAGTCCACAGGCCGATGCTCTGTCCACTGAGCTAAACCAGCTTTGGCCAGAGGTACTTTTTAATTAAAAAACTTTCTAAGCTATAAAACTTCAGAAATTAAATCCAGTTCCTTCAGTTGACTATTGATAACTGAAGCCAAAGGAATGAAAGTATAGACATAATAGCAAAGCTGGATTTAGACTGCATGAGTTTTAGCTGTCCTCCTTTCTACTAGATTACATTTACTGATGATTGACTCCATATAGAATGTGTTATAGGTAAACAATTCCTCATTTGAAACCATTGGGGCTATATGTATTTGGAAGTTCATATTTCAGCAAAAATTTAAAAAAGGTGATAGGTTGTCTATACTGTATTGTACCATCACCAGTGAGTCTGGGGTGGTGCTCCTATTTAATGCATTACTCTCATAAAACTTGGGAATTTTCACACATATGTGCTCACTGTTTAAGTTAAATCAGGTTTACCACCACAAAAGTTATGAAAAAAGTAGGTTTTGAGAACAACTTGAATTTTTAAATTGAGCAGTAGAGATGTTGGGCCTTTAGCAGAAGTCCCTTTTTTCTAAAACCTTCAGTTTTAGAAAAAAATAAAATGTTGCCCTAGCTGGTTTGGCTCAATAGATAGAGTGTCCACCTGCGGACGGAAGGATTCCAGGCTTGATTCCAGTCAAGGGTACATTCCTGGTTGCAGGCTCAATCCCCAGTTGGGGTCATGTAGGAGGCAGCCAATCAATGATTCTCATCTCCCTCTCCCTTCTCTCTGAAATCAATAAAAATATATTTAAAATGTTGAAACTTAGTGGAGCTATCACTAAGCAATTGTTTGTACCAAAATACCCTGCCAGGTACATTAACATGTTTCTGACGAAATTAAGTGACAGGTCCAGTTCACCTAACTACTAAGAAGTGAAGGAGGAGCTGAAACCGGTTTGGCTCAGTGGATAGAGCGTCGGCTCGAGGACTGAAAGGTCCCGGGTTCGATTCCGGTTAAGGGCATGTATTTTGGTTGTGGGTACATCCCCAATAGGGGGTG